GTCTGACAAGATGAATGTGTAAATCGGGTCTAGGATTTGTGTTGAGCCATTTAAAGCTCAATAAAAAAGTGTAAACTTAAAACAGGAGCATATGCATAATATCAATGGCAATAGATGGGCAAATTCTCAATTCGATCTTTTAGTGAACTTTCATTGACGTCCTTCTATTATGATCCAGGAGATAGGAAGAAAAGGAAGGCTTCGAACGAACAAAACGATGACAAGCATATCAAGCCTAATGTAAGAATCTTGTTCGTATACGTGCAGGATTCTGCTCCTGAAACGATTTTTATTGTGATTCATTGTCTATTCATGAGATAGAAAATTATATATCCCAATAGTAGCCGACTTGCTGCCTTCTGCAAGGGAAAAAGGCAAATGGATGTTTTCCAAACAAACTATTCTGTGGCTGTGTGGTCGCCATTTGCTAATGGTATTTAATTATTTCTTTCTTAAGGTATCTATTCATTCAGTCTGGGCACTGTCATCTGATTCCGAGTCAGGTGATCATAGTCCAAAAAGGGAAGATCACAGCAATGAGCAAGAAACTTATGCGCACCAAAATTTGAATTCCAACGTGAAGAAAAATGTGGGGATGAAGTTCTTGGCAAAGATGGAAAGTCTCCATCAAAGAAGGAATCAAAAGGAAAGCTTCCACAGAAGCAAATACACCAAGATCATACACTACTTAATGCGAAGGGCACAAAAGGCAGGGGAAAAGGGAAAGGTATGAACAATGGAGTTGCTTCAGAATAATTACTAAATGCAACAGATGTCTCCATTTTCAAGCACGTGTACTTGAGTTAGGGATTTGCTTATTGTCTTTTGCATGTTATCTATCTGAAATTGGAACAGGGAGTGTGTGAAGATGCTGAAGTTAAAGAGGAAGGACTTCTGAAAAACATGTTGAAACTATGTAAGAATGGTCGAGATTATACTGGATACTAGAAATAAATTCCTGATGTGCCCTTGGCTTCAATGTATAAATAATTTGAAGGCATGGGGATTATCTATCCAGTCTGGCATTCTGAGTTTTGCACTTTTGCTGGCTATTTGTGATTCGCAGGTCTCTTCAGGGCTGCCTTTGATGCTTTCTGAGAAAGTTCAGCGTACAAAGGTTTGGCAGCCACATTATATTATGGCTTATCCTCTTCTCTGTATTCAATTCTATAAGGGCCATATTCTACGTCTTTTTGGTATGCTTTTAAAAGTAACTAAACATGTTTTTCTATGTGTTGCATAGAATTTGAGAAATGAGTTAAGCTATTAATGACTTGTGAATACTGTGGCTTGCTGTGGATTATATATATAGAGTTTGATCTTTCATGATTCATATCATTAGGTTAATCAAATTATCAATAAAGATTTCACAGCTTATTGACAATAAAAGAATGTTTTGGGAATTAGTGGGTAATACCGGTTATAATTAGGGATGGTAGTATTTGCTGTTTGTTGATCCATCATGTGATGTGCTTTAGCTTTTCATGGAACTTCTGTGCATGGTGAAAATAGGTATTGCACTTATCTTCCTCATTCACTAGAAGGAAAACAGGTTCTTTACAAAGTGCTCCTCTGTTTGGCAGGCACTTATTGAATGTGAAGGTGACTCTATAGATCTAAGTGGTGACATGGGTGCTGTTGGCAGAATAATGATTTCAGATTCTCCTTCTGGGGATCAGGAAGTGTACTTTGACTTAAAAGGTACTTTACTGGATATATTTTCTGACTGACGATTTATTATTATGCCTGTAGAAAGACGTGTGGATTCCTTGCACGTTGTAGCCGGTTTTTCAGTAAGCTAAGTTATAGCGACGTACTGGGTTTTCTAGAAATGAATGAACATGTCAGTATTATTAATTCCTGAGAATATCTGAGACTTACTGATGATATCTAATTTTTTACTTGTTGAGTTTTATTCTTCATAGATATATGTGTATACTTCTTTTCTGAGTTAATTACCTTTGTAATCTGCTGTTCTGCCCATTAAAATTCTATATCCGACCTTCTTAGTGATATAGTTCTTTTATTTTCTAAAGGATTACTTTATCTGATAGTACAAATTTTACATATTGTTGCAGGGACAATATACAAACAGCAATAATTCCTTCCAGGACGTTTGTGTTGTATGTAATTGATCTTGGATGGGATTTTCTTCCTTTGAAACCATCACCTTCTTGTTGGCCCAAAAAAATATGGCCTCCTGAGCTTTTTTTATTAGAATAAAGGCTACGTAACTTTAACAATCTGGAATTCTGGATGTTAAATCGCTTGATATTTGAAATATAAATATTGCTTTTGCCTTATGATACGAGTTTGTTCTTTCTTCAGGTTAGCTTCGGCAGTCAGAGGCAAAGGTCCGTTTGTCATCTACTTATTCCCTTGTGTGCTACCTTGGTGACCGTCTTCACCCCACAAAAAAAAAAAAAAAGAAAAAAAGAAAAAACCGTATCATCAAATAACGATTTATACCCATTCGTCTTGAGGGTTTATGTCTTGACTTTTTAACTTTATTGTCTAACCTCAGTAAGCATTTCATTGTTGCCTTTTTCCCCATTGTTACCCTTTTGTAGTGAGTATAGTGACACTAGGAAGAATACATCTTTACTACTCTTCTGGTTCTTAATATAGGACTTAATTGTTGAGTTAATTTTGGTCCTAAATATGAGACTTATTTATCACATTTATCAATTTTTCCTAAATTACCTTTATTGATACTTCCTCAATCATAAAAAGTAGGAAAAAGAGGGAGGATTTAAAGAAGATGATTGTGGTGTTTTAGGAAAAACATGTTATTTTTTATAATTAATTAATTTACCTAACTTCCTTAATTTAATCAAATTAGTTTTTATATTAACGACTGGAGGAGTAATTTATTCATATATTTCTTCATCAGATAGAGGCGATCATGAATGACTTCATACAGCTGAAACCGCAATCCAATGTGTATGAAGCAGAAACTATGGTTGAAGGTTGGCTGGTCTTTCAACAACTAAATAGAGATTTTATATGTATTTGGTGTCCTCTTAGGCTCTGACTGAATTATTGTGTATGGGCAGGGACACTGGATGGTTTCTCCTTTGATTCGGATGAGGAAGCTGACAAGTTACCGAAAGCAAACCAAACTGATCAAAATGAGCGGGATGAGGAACAAACCGACAAAAAAGCAAGCGGGAAGACTGACAAAACATCAGTAAGTTGCTACAGTACTTTGTGTTTTAGATTTGTCCTTCATGAACGTAGAGCTTCTTCATGCTATTTGACATGGTGCGGGCGTCCTTAATTGTTTCAAAAAAAATTGGATGCAGGGTAATGCAAAGAAAAGAGGTAGGAGTGCAGGCGGAAAACCACCTGCACCAAAGAAAATAAGGAAAAAAGCTCAAGGCTCCAAGAAAGCGAAGACCAAAAGATGAGTGTTTCACAATTTGTATGCGCCATTCAAGTGTTGACGACAGATGGAGTTGAAAATATAGAAGATCTGCCATTAGCGTTCTAAGCAGGCCATTCTTAAGATATTTCTGTTTGAGTCTATATTCCAGAATAACATTGTTTGTTTGGTTTTCAATAAATATTGTTATCTTTGAAAAATAAATATTATCATCTTTGATTCAAATTAGGCGGCTATTGTTCATTAAATTTATGCAGAACAGGTTGTGGAAGAGAGAATGTGTGGGAGAATAATCCTTACATTCCGGTCACGTTAGAAATGACAAGTTTTAGTGTATTTCTTTCTACATTACTACTTCGCTCGAGATGAGTGTATAGACTGGTGTTGCGGCTATGTGCTCTTAAGCATCTGGCAGTCCACTGAAGCAACGGAAGAGTAATTTATGATTCGGAATGCACGCATAGTTCTCCAAGAATCATACTCAACTGATCACCATCCCCATCCGAGAGAGTATTATATGGTTTCATTCATAGTGAAGACCATGTTGCTATAGAAGTCCAGAAAGTAAGAGCGGCAACACACAGGGAGAATGGGCATGAATAGGGGAAGAGAGCACTCGAGGAACCAGCCTGCTGAGCCGTTCCATTGCGTTTATTAGTTGGCTTTCTAATCCTGAACGGTGATGCCATATGTTAGTATTGGGGCTTAAGAGTTCATTACAGTTTTAGAGGGAGAAAGTAGCACCTGGAGGCGGAGGAGGGGCAGAAAATGATGTGATAACCGTAAGCTCTGCAGGTGAAAGTGCTGGTGGTGTCGTCGTAAGCGTAGCTGTAAGCTCTGGGACAGGCCTTCTTGAAGATGGTTGAGTAATGGGAGGGATGGCATGTGGTTGGGTTGGCATATTGTCCGCTGCAACAGTACTGGTCCGATCCAAATGCCTCGCAAGCGCTCCTGCACCCCACCACGCCCCCGCTTCCTTGCTTCCCGTTCCCACTCGTCACTTGGAGTTCTTTAGGGCAACCTGTATATATGCATCCATAATTCATCATTCCAGTTTCGCCCTCAAGTTCAACACTCGAATCTCATCTTCAACTATCACACAGCTGGATCAAACACTTACTTCTAAATCAAGATTTGTCTTTTATGTTTATAAATTGGACATTTGATTTCAATGAAAGCGGTTGATTCTTAATATAACCCAACCTCCTCGCACCTCAATTTCGCCTTCGAGATCATTATCTTACACGCTTTAATTATTAAGCTGGGCTAAATGGATTTCATGCTCATAATTGAAAATGAGCATATTCTTCGCGTTAAAATTAGCTGTTCAGATATATTATCTTGTTTTGTTCTAGCTTCTATTTTTTAATATTTTGTAGCTTAAAGATGCAATTTCTAGATAAGAATAATTCTTGAATTGTTATTTTTTAAAAAACACATAAATATATTCAAATTAAATTTAGACGACGATGAGCATGAATCATCACGACGAGCACTGAATTAAAACGCATAAACAGTCTAGTTTCTACTGGCATAAAATATGGGAAGGAGTTAGATATGATATATAGAACGGTTGAAGTCGGGAGTAGCCAAACTTTGGAGGTCAAACTCTCATGTGATATAACGCAGATTGTTATTATATTACCTGTGTTGATATTAGAAATACAACCAGTGGAATTACAGGCGGAGGCACCATAGACGCCTGCTGGGACAGCAAGCATTGGAAGATTGTAGCCATCGACGAGGCTGACATCATAGAAGTCTTGGTCAGTGCCGCCACCGAGTGTTATCTCAAACAACGACGCCGGAGGAGCTGCTCCGCTCCCTTCACATTCCAGCTTCCCCCCGCAATCACCTGTTTCACACTTTCCGTTTCCCTTCCCATCAAACTTGCACCCAGTCCTTCCCCATATCCTCCCCGACCATTTCGGCCCGCTCGTCAGTTTCACACTTCCCCCCGACTCCAGCCGGAACCCCGTTGGCGACAGCTCCGCCGACCCTGAACCCGACAGCGTGGCCGGCCATATGGTAGTGCTGCAGTTGTTGGTGATGGTGAATGTGATGCAGTTAGAACAAGTTGAGAATGTGAAGAGAAGGAGGAGCAAAGTGGGGAGCTTCCTGCAGAACGCCATTTTTGATGATCGACCGATCTATTTGTGATGCGAGCTTGATATATCTTTGTGTGTGTGTAATGCATTATGCATTACAAAACCAAAGCGTGAAGTCGCTTTTCTGAAAATCTGAGGCGCGAGCAAAACTCCTTTTATGGGTTTAGCATTCCTTTTATTGTAAATTTTCTCTTCAAAAAGCAATTCTTTGCTTTTGCTGTTGCATGAGATATGGTACAAATTGGGAAATCCATGTTTTAGACTCGTGACTCGTGACTTCGCTCCAAAGGACGGCGTCGGGATCTCAGATATTTTTATACAATTATTTTGAAATACATGAATATTTTATTGGTAAAAATGATTAAATTATTATTAAATAATATCATTTTTAGATAAAAGCTTGATTTTAAGATTTTATTTCCATATTTTTATGTTGAAAATTATAATTGCTTATTTTATATTTTAAAATGTAAACTTGACAGTTATTATATCTTGTAAGCAACAAGTATTAAAAAAAAAAGAGAGAGAGACCAAAATACAAATAATCCCCTTCAACTTTAGCTCTTTTGTAACCTGCGTCTCTTATCTTTAAAAGTTTAAAAATAACATCCTTAATTCTTATATTTTTACATTTAACATCTTGCTGTTAAAATGTTGGTTAAATCTAATGGAATGAATGCCATATCAGATTATTTAAAATTATTAGGCTCATAAAATGTAATTTTTATTGTTTGATTAATTTATTCCAACTCAAAACTCATAATTACCAGAGTGACATCTTTGTAATTATATCAATAACAGTTTCAGTTCTTTGTCTCGCCCAATCTGATTGTCTTGCTCTCAGTCTTACTCATAAGCTGTGTTAGCCGTCGCGCAGATGCGCACAAAATATTCACACTTTCCTGCGACGTCAATTTCTCTAAAAGGGATTGAAAGCTTTGGATTAATGCTGCTACCCCTTTCGACGAATTTTTTAGGAGATTATCTAAAACCTAAGAAATTAATAGAAAGTTGTTATAGATGCAGAATAAGTCGGATTTTATAGTTTAATACTCCGTACGATTGGGTTTTTCAAAATAATTCTTTCTAATAATATGTTTTGACTGGGGGCAACAAGCATGTGATTCCATCACATGATAATCTCCTAAAAAAATTTCAGAAAAAAATCCAGATTTAAGAGCCATGTGATGAAGATGATTTTTGAAATAAGGAATAGAAAATGAATAAAACGGTGCAATGGGGAGACTTGCGAGGTGGGAGAGGTTGAAAGAGCCAGACTAGGAATTGTTATTAGTAGTCACAAAAATGCCTTTCAGTAGAATTGAGTTTTGATTGGAATAAATTAATTAAAAAATAAAAATTATGTGTCATTGTCATAATAATTTTAAACAATCTAACATGACATTCATTCAATTAGATTTAACATACACTTTAACGGCAATGTGTTAAGTGTTAAAGTACAAGAGTTGAGGGTGTTATTTTTAAACTTTTAAAAGTGAGGGAGGCTATTTATAAAAGAGTTAAAGTTGAAGGGGCTTATCTGTATTTTAACCTTAAAAAATGTTGCTTAAGATGTACTACTATATGGTGAAACCGATCTTTTACATACTAGATGGTCGTTATTAATGGACATATTAATTTTGAAGAGAAGAGTGCATATTTTTAACTAAAAAAACGAGCACGTAATGCGAATATTTTTTCTAGAAAGGCTACTTTAAAAATTGCTTTAAGAATTTAAGGATCTAATGCTAAGAGATGAGGCTTGTTATCCAAAAATAAAAGGAGAATATTTCTAGAAGCTCAAGAAATAAAAATTAGGATGCTTAAATTATAATGATGAAATCTCTTAATAAGATTGTTCTAAAAAATATTTTCCAAGACTATCTCCGAACAGATGTTACGGACCACGTCATCGTGATGAATTTAAGGACTAACCAATTACTAAGGGAATCAATCATGGTTAATTTTATTATTAATTAAACACTGCCGCGCACTAATATAACATCTTTTCCTGTTTCTGGGGAAAAATCCCAGTAGTGATGGCCCGCCCTTCACGCTAAACAAGCGCTTTCCGGTGGATCAATTTGGAGGTTTTCAGGTCAAAAAAAAGGGCGCATCACTTTCGAGGTATATGCGAATAGTGAATAGATCTCAGAAACGCTCATTGCCTTTCCTTTTCCTCTTCTCCCTCCATTTCTTATCCTTCTCAAACTTTTCTATCTCATAACTTTAAAATGGCAGATTTTAGAGGGAAAATATACCTTCCTAAAATTGTCCCATAGGCATCAGCCCCACAGGCCATACCTCCTCTACATAGTATTATAGTTGTTATTGTGGTCGCAGTCCTAGTTAAATTTCTTTTTTCTCTGTTTTCCTCCAGTTTATCCAAACTCATCCAAACTCTGAGAATTTTATTTTCTCCATCTGTCTTCCTTCCAATTTTTTTCCTCCATCTCATTCAAACACAGCATAGTAGAGCCAAAGTTACATCAAAACGCACCAGTTTGCAAAGAACGATGAATTTTGAAGATTCTTACAATCACTTGAGACTATTAGTGAATGTTAAAAGTTGAGACTAGACATAATCTCAAGAATTAAGAACAGCATACCGTGTACAAGCTCACATCTTCCTAGCAATGGAAACGATGGAATTAATAGAGAGAGGCCAAAGGATAGTCACTAATATCACCTCCAAAAGCCGAACGCTGGTTGTCATGTAAATTAAACTTAATAGTTACAGATCTAAGGCAAGAATACGAGAATCCAAACTCTGCATCTTCTCAGCAGTAGAAATAACGGGCAAGCTTTGATAGACCTATGGTAATTACAAGAATTGCACTTGCAGTCGCAGCCACTCTCCTTGCCATCAGCTCAATGCCACCGTCTGAAGCGGCGTATAGTGGAATATATCAATGAGATCTTGTGTTCCGAAGTTTCATCAACCTGCCTTTTTCGGCTTTCAGAATCCAGTTTTGGTAATCACCATAATCTTATAAGCAGCATCAGGATTGTCAATTCCAACTCTTCTAACATCACGTCAGATTAGCTTCACTCTTGGAAATTGTTTCCAGATCCGCATCCATCATCTTCTCCACTCTGCAGCAGAGGCATCCTGCATTGAACAAACAAGACACGTATCACTTCATCATCTAGCACAGCATATTGACTTCACAAATTTATTCAGTATTGCAAACAAAATGTTTTCAAGGCTCCTTGGTAGCTTCTGCTTCAAAACCTGCACAAGTTACATTAACCTCAGACAGCTAGTTATCAATCAAATCACGGAGAGAATGAGCTATAGAGCGATAATCAATACAGCTGCAAAGCTGAACTACTAAACCTTTCACCAGATAACATGGCAAAGATCTTGTTCATATGAAGAACCAGAGAGAACCTGAGCTTACAGAAGTAAAGGTTACCAACAAACCCTGAATAAAGAGATCAGTCAGGAAGTGACAACATTGACAGTGGTCACCTGTTAGTTTAATCTAACTCAGGGAAACAGAAGAGGTGAAAGAATACAAATCCTAACAGTAAGGTACAAATTACTAGTACATAAATACTACAATCGGATTATCCCTGCTATAACAGATTAACTATCGATATAAACTTCAGAGCAAACCAGAAAAGGGTTACAGATTGCTAATATATAGTACAATACTGTGGTCCATAATCATTATCAAGCATCATAAAGGCCAGAATACATCATGCAGTTGTAGCTCGCTACAGCAGTCTGCTTCTCAATAAGGTTAGCAAGAGACTGATGTCTATTTAAGTTCCATAAACTCACCATCGAACAGTCAAGCTATTTCAAGAACTATTACATAAATACTAGAAATATAAGGAGTTCCTACAACAGAGGGACACGTAAGGTCCAGCAATAAGTAGTCCACAATTGATCAAGTTCTGTAACTAGTCCAATAGAAAAAGGAAAAATGTCCAAAAGGACAAGAAATTATTAGAGTCTTTTTGAGTTATATGATAAAAATCTAGCTCATATCCATGCCATCTCCAACTTGGCTGCAGATAGGACTGACAGCAGAGAAAGATCTCTCAAAAGGAGAAGGATGAATTTGTGCATCCCGTCTACGCTTAAAACCACCACAGCTGTCAGAGGGTGAATTGTCCGCATCGAGCTTTCTTCTGACACCTCTCACTGCTTGTTCCTCTGTTGGTGTAAGAGGGAAAATTTTACCACTTGCTCGGCAAAGAGAGCTATGGTTATCATACAAAATTCTCTGATTGCAGTTTTTATCACATATGTGAGTCAGCCCTGTTAGCTTGCAGCGATACATGTTTCCACAAACATGTTCGTTTTCACATTTCCAGTCGCATTTGTGACCAGGAATGGGACCATCTCGACCCAAAATACTTGACAGATAAATAACATTTGCAGGACCTGCAACCATAGATTTGCCATATACCTCCATTCCTTCTGTTGAAACAGCAACTTCTAAGATTCTAACACTCCGATTTCAAGGCCTTGCCTGAATTGTCTGCAGGCCCATCACAACAGAGAATTCAGTTAAACTCAACAGAAATTGATCTTCTTGCCTCTAGAGAGAGAGAGGGGTCGAAATTAATATAATATTTTTATTCAGAAAACTTTTGGCACTCTAGTTGTAATTACGGTAAGAAACAACACTGTCCGCTATCTGTTACATGAAAGACCCAGTCATTAAGTAGATTTTAATCCTTGAATGTATCAGCCATAGATAGCGAGAAACAAGGTCAAAGAATTGAGGCCTTCAAATACATGTTCACCGGACCACTCGTACCGACTTAAGACAGTCTCCAGGATCATAAAAAAGGTAACGTTTATTCCTCGAGCAAACAAACGACCACATGGGACAGATCTAGGCCTCAGCCGTTTAATTCCAATTCCAAGATGGCAGCAGATGGCACAATTGACACGAGCTCCGACAATAATTACCTATTAATAACCACCTTAGAGGTTTATTACACACAAAACCTAACCCGAACCTTTTTTTCAATTACAGTTTCGCATCGATAATCTCCATAAAACAACCGAAGAAACAAAAACATCAAAAGGATCATCGCGCTCTCAGGCGAACCTAACAATTTCACCACCACATCACATACGCGCGGGAAAAGCAGGAGAGTTTAGGAACGACAACAAAGAACCAACCAACGCCAGAAGATAAAATGAAGGTAGATAACTCACGCTCTTCAACAAAGTCAAGCTGCCGAGTCTGCCTCCTTGCCTCCGTTACTCCGTACCTAATACCTACAAAATGAGAAAGAACCACCAAAAAGATACAAAACTGATTTCTCTCTCCTCTCCCGTACTCACTCTCTCTGCATCACCTTCGCTAACACAAAATTAAACAAGCAAACGAGCGCAACGGCCTTGGTATTTATAGAAAAGAGGGCGCTACAGCAGCGGGTGTGACTACAAATCCATAATGGGGTTGACGTCCCCGGAGACCAAGCGAAATGCAAATGAAATTCATGTGAAATTTCAGTCAAATGTGGGGCGAACCGTAATTTCACGAAGTCATGTTTTGGGTCAGGTGGCCACTTCACCTATAATTTTGGATAAACTCACGGATCCAACGATCGTAACGGAGTTTCTGACCATCCCTACCTTTTTATTTTTTGTTTTAATAAATATAAAAACATGTTTTTGTACCTTGCTTGTCACGTGTCTCTAACGGTCCTTTCGCTCTCCGTCTCCGCCAGCTTTCCCACTTTTTTAACGATTCAATGATGCCAGAGATAAACAGGGTGAGCCGCGTAGACCTTATCGCCGCATCATCACTTGACACGTGTAATTAGAAGCGGCATCATCGAGCTCCATTACTAATGCCTTTGACTCTATAGCCCCTGCGCCTTATCTTCATCCGGCCTTTTTTTATTTTGGGTCCTGATTTAATCTTCATTGGTCTTTGGAGCTTCCTTCTATTTCCGCCGTCCGAATTACTGGACTGAGCCTACAACCCGAAATCGGCCCATCTATTCTAATAGGATCTTATTTTCTGGCGGCTGTGTTTTGGTAAGCTAGGAATTGGCTCAAAAGAGACGGAGACGGATTCGCAAGACCAAAATACCCAGAAATTGTGCTGATTCCAAGTATATTGCCATCGCTGCCCTTGTTTTCACTCACTATTACAGCTCTCCTTTCGTCTCATTCCGTCGCGTACGATTTTTCCTCCTCAGTCATCTTCTTCACTGTCTGAACTTTGCCTTTCCTACTTTTCTTCTGATTGTGGATATTTGCTTTCGGTTTCTATCTGGATATGAAGTTTGCTGTGGATCTGTACTTTGCCGTTCGATTTTTGCTTTTCTTCTTGCTCTAGATTTTTTGCTTTTGTTCTTGTTGTAGATCTAATTATGATTTATGCCAAGTTGTTTCTGCCTCACCGGTGCTGATCTGGGGTGATGGGGTGGTTTTCGATGTCGGAGAACTGAGTCCTTTTTATAAAAAAACAAAAAAGGGTTTATGAAGGGTACTTTAGTCCTTCGATGTTATTATTATTCGTGACCCAATTCTATTTTCTTTTCTATTCCAATTCTTATTCCTTTTAGTTGTTTGGTTGGAAGGGAGGGGAGGGATGAGTCCCTCCTCTCATTTGGTTAAAAATTTTAGAGGGGAGGGAAGTCAAAATGTTCCCTCGCTCCTCCCATTTTAGCTCTCCTTCAAATGGGGAGTTTTTGAAAGGGAGTTAAAATTTTAAACTATTATACTCTTATAATATTTTTAATATTTCACTATTACCTATAAAATATATTATTATAATATTTATTTTAAATAAAAATATATTATCCTAAGTAAAAAATAAAAAATATAAATTATTATAATTAAAAAATATATTATAAAAAATTATTTAAATAAAAAATTATAATATTATAAAATTAATTGTTTTTTATAAATATATTATTTATTAAATATATTTTAAAACTGAAAAAAAAAGAATAGTTTAAAAAAATAAAATTTTATTTTTTTTGTTAATTTGATTATTTTAAATATATTATATTAATTATAATAAAAAATTACCGTACCAATTTTTTAATACACATGTTAACATGATAAGATTGAATTTTTATTACATTATATAATTTAAATTAAGATCTAAATTAATTTATATAATATATCAATAAAAAATATAATCTAATATGTGAGGATAAAATAGTAAATTGATTATTACTATCTCTTTCTTCCCCTCTTTAAATTAAACAAGGGATCATTAAATACCCTCCTTCCCTTCCCTACCCTCCCCTCAATACAAACATGCCCTTTCTGTTCCAATTCCGCTAAGTCCTCTCTAGGATACCAAACGTGGCCTAGGGGTTTTGCCTAATTGTGAACCCTAAACTGATCAACGGCGGTCCCGCCGCGCTCTTCCCGGTGCTCGTGGAAAACTCCAGCATCGCAGTTACGATTGGCGCGAGGACCGCGATTCTCTCAAGACTCAGGATTCTTCTCTTGTTTGGGGGATTTTCTTCCCCTGCTTGGGTTCTTCTCGTGGAATTAATATCTGTGGAGTCGGGGATATAGGGTACAAAGTAACTCTGGGCACTTAAATTGTATGCATTTACTATAGGATGGACAAATATTCATATGCTGTCCACAGAATCCTTTCCTCTTTGTCGAAGTACATATAAACCAAAAGAATTTTGGAGTCTCTGTTCTAAATTCTGTGAATTACTTGCTGGTATCCTTATCATATTGTAAATTTTTTGGTATATTTATTGGTAAGATTTCCTTCTAAATGTTAGATCTTTTTAACATAGAAATGGTCCGGACCCCCCCCCCAAAAAAAAAAAAAAGAAGAAGAAAACACCTTTCTGATGTCAAGCTATGAGTTCTTTTCATTTGTTGGAGTGACTAAGCTGTAAATATGTGATAATTTGGCGAGAGAGAATCGATTTTCAATCAGCAATTAACGAATGATATTGTGTGAATTCCCATTTCCGTTTGATTTTCACTATGATTTTTTGGTTTATCAGATCTGGAATAACTTTTTCGATATGCATTTAGTAACATTTAAGTTGCTTGATCCTTGCGATCGATGTTTACAGGGAACGGATCTGCCCGAGTGAGTGTTCTACAGCAGATAAAGCCAGGTAAAGGGCGATCATGGTGGGATTTAAGAATAGGTACATGGTAATGGAGGTCTTTTTGAATCCTAACAGAGACCATGTGGGTAATGATTGTATTATAATTACCCAGTTTAATGTGTCTAAAGCAATAAAAGAAAGCATCCTGCTAAACTTTGGGGAGTGTGGTTTGGCCTCGTCCGTGGGATCATTCATGGGTTAGTAACAAATCATTTCTTTATTTTTGGTTCTTATCAGATTTGCCTTCTGTCTGTATATTTAGCGCGTTATTTTTTGAAATGATGAGTATATTTCTTGTTTTTTGTAGTCAAGTATGTCAATCCAATCACCAATACATGCATCATTAGAGTCTCAAGAGAGGAATATCAAAAGGTTTGGTCTGCTATTACAATGGTCAGAAGTATTGGGAACTACCCAGTGACTTTTAACATGTTGGACCTGTCTGGTAAGTAGGCATTCTAGTCAAGTTTGACAAAATAATATGTGATGACTGAAGTTTCCATCCACCTCTGTAATTACTCCTATTGCTGATTTCCTGTACAGAAGACTACCTGACATGACGTGATGACTTTTGCTTCAGGGAGTATAAAGGCTTGTAGAACTGCTGCCTTGAAGTGTGAGGAATTGAAGTTTGAGCAATTCAAACTTATGGTGGGAGATCGTCTCTCGACTGATGATACCCAGCGCATGCATAATTATCTTGAAAAGATCAAAGTACTGGAGCATTGAATACTTGGCCACCTACCTCTTAAGATAGTTGATGTTTGATCTGAAATTTTGCCTGCTCATTCAGAATATAGGATTTACAAGGCTGGTTTTTAGATGTTTACAAGTGTACAGTTCCCTGCATTTACATTTTAGTTTTGACTTGCATGAGTGGAAAAAATTCTCGGAGAGAAAAATGCAAAAAAATCTCCTTTAGAGCAAGTTACTTGCAAACTGTGTCTTGAATTTTCAAAACTGGAAATTGAAGTCTATTGATTTTTTCCCCTTTAATGATATTTACTCAAAGATTCGTTGCCAGCGGAAGATCCCATCGCCATATGAACCTATTGTCCCATCACGTGAATGTGACAAGCCAGTGTCATCCGACTTGTTAAGAAAGTTGTTAAAGTGGCTTGAATATGTTTGAAGGTCATTAATCGATAGGGAGGTTTCTTTTTATTATCAATTTATTTGAAGATTTAATTGTTGACGGAGGATGATTTATATAGCTGAATTTACTGTGTAATAAGGCTTGTTTACATTAACTCATTTGCTGCACAATCTTGAAATTTTTATATATAATTAAGCGTGGCAACTTGTTCCGTCTCCAATGCTACATGTGTAGATATTGAGATCATGGGAGACTTCTGCTGGGGTTTTTGAATCACAAAAGTTTAAAGACTTATTTTTCATTCTTAAATGTGAACAAAGAATTTGAAGACTTACTGTAGGTCTGTGGAAGAAAATGTATACATTTTTCCGTGTGAATCAATCTGTAGATATAATTACTTCTTTTGCTATATAATTGCTTGGGTTCGCAGAAGTAGACAAAACAATGTGGGATGATATTGGCGTCCTGTGATGATGAAACCAAAACGAGGCCGAAATCCATCCTGCAATTTCCATGAGAAAGCCCCCCACTCTGGATGCGACTACACGCAAAAGCCAGTAGTGCAGTCAGACTTTGGATCCATGAATACACGTGGACCCCATTTAAACAATCAACCTTGCCTCCTTCCCCTTTCTTGTGCGGAACGGAACTTTTAATTTATTTTCCCTTTTAGAAAAATAGAAGCGCATGCAAGAAAATCCCAACCCCCACCCCACCAACGCTGTGGTTTCGTGGGATCGCCGCTGCTATAAATAAATGCTTTCACATTCTCCTCTTTACATACACACAGGCGGCATCATATCACTATTCACTACCCTCACTCTTCTTCGCTTGCCTTCCTCCTTCATACCTGCAGCCACCAACGGATACACAGATGGAGAAGAAAATACTCGATTTCATCCTCGTCCCCGTGGGCTTACTGGTCCTTCTGTCCTACCACCTCTGGCTCCTCCTTCGAATCATCAACAACCCCACTAAAACCGTCGTCGGCGTCAATGCCATCAGTCGCCGTTTCTGGGTTCAAGCAATGATGGAGGTACACACACATATGGCCATATTAGAGCGCTCGTTGGTATATGTAGCGTCGGGCGTTCGTGCCAATATCGATTATCACTATCTCTTAATTAGTTTCTGATTCATTTTAGGTTTCAGGTTTTTTTTTCTTTTTTGGGTTCTGAATCTTCGATTTCGCGATACGCAGGAGGTGCCGAAGAATGGAGTTCTGGCTGTTCAGTCTCTGAGGAACAACATAATGGCGTCGACTCTTGTAGCATCCATGGCGATAATGCTGAGTTCGCTCATCGCCATCTTGTTGAGCCATAGTGGGGACGAAGAGAGGAAAGTGATCGTGGTTTATGGGGACAGAAGCGACCTGTGTCTATCGATAAAGTTCTTCGCCATATTGGTGTGCTTCATGGTGGCTTTTCTGATGAACGTTCAGTCCATAAGGTACTATAGCCACGCCAGCATCCTCATCAACGTTCCATTCAAGAAGGTGTGCCCAAATATTCGGCACCAGATCCTGACGTCTGACTACGTCGCCACCACCGTTAACAGAGGAAGCTATTTTTGGTCTCTGGGTTTGCGCGCCTTTTACTTCTCTTTCCCGATGTTTCTGTGGCTTTTCGGACCCATTCCCATGTTCGTCTCTTGCTTCGTCCTCGTTTTCATGCTCTATTTCTTGGATCTCACGTTTGAGCATGGCTGGGCTGCCGTATCTGCCATTGAACCTGATCAAAATCGTAGGGATATAGAAGCTGCTGCGGGAATCTCAAATTAGAACTAGAGTCTCTGGTCTGGGGCATATATGTAGTATCTGTAGCGGTGAATAGTGATTAATAAAATAGCTAGGGGACCATGATAGGAGTCAGTGCTATAGACTCTGACATAACGGAAGGTGATTCGGATTCAATCCATGTTGAATTGAATCACATATCAAGCGCCAGCATGTAATGCAGTGAATAATAAGATATTTGAAATTTTGAATGTTTGGTTCTGTTCTTCGTTACGTAATTGCCAAGAAGATGCGGCGAAGGAGAATGAGACAGATGAGATGACGCAGAGAAGAGCACACTCGCCACTGTCCTTTAATGGTGCAAGTGGAGCAATTGCTGAGGTCAGGCTTGTTCGGCTTGTATGTTTTCCCCTCTATTTCGAAACCCATGAAGAATCTCGTCCGCTTTTTATTTCCATGATAACCAATAGGGTTAATACTACCTCTACAATCTAAAATTTGATCCATTTTAGTTTTGGTTTTAATTCATGGAATTTGATTTTTTTGTTTTTGGGTCCCTAGAACATTGTTTTAGTTTAAATTTTTAAGGATTAAAGTTAAATTTCAAGAACTAAAAATAATATTATTTCTAAAAAAATGTTGTTTTTTTTTTAAAAATAATATAGTATGTGCTTACCATATTTTATAGGTTTTGAAGGATGCGTTATATGCACATGATATATAATGAAAATGTTTATAAATTTATAATTTGCATATGTATCTGTGATATATAATATTTATTTATTAAATTAAATATAAAAAAGAAATTGAAGAATATATGCCATAAAATTAATAAAAATATAGGGACTGGTGTTTTTATTTATTTATTTATTGCCAACATATGCCTTTTTTTTAAGTTCAAATCACCCCAAAAAAAAAAGAAGCAGCAGTTTCAAAGAAGCAATTCTTAGGAGGGACAGATGTTGACTTTTCTTGGAGCTGGAGATATTGACCCAATGGATATAATTATACATACGCGCGACTTGCACCCCGTCTACTTACAACGACATTTTTTAAGGGCAGTGGTAGGCCGTAGCCGACATACACATGTCCAAGTAGCGCTGCCTTGCAGTACAAATCTAAATGTCCCCCAAACATTGTCTTCTACTGAATGCTGCGTCAACATGTGCGTGCATTTTCTTCCGTACTTCAGCCGACTTTATACTATTGTTCGTAAAAATTAATTGAAATAAAATTTTAATTCATTTTGTTTATATACATATTAATTTTTTAAAACTTTTTTTTTATTGATTATACATGTTAAAAATTTTATATGAAAAAAGTGTTTTTAATGTAAATAATTTAAGATAATATTTTTAAAAAATCAACATTTACTTTAAATAAATAACTAATTTCAATATTTTTTAATATATTTAAATTAGTTAATTTGATGCTATGACAAGAATAGCTAGTATTATGACTATAGACTGAGCTTTAATCTCAATGTTCAAAATTGATATGCTGTTAACAGAGAGGATATTAATTATTTTATTGGGAAAAAACCGAGTGAATCTTTTCAGTAGGTTAATATAATCTTTGATTTTTTAAATTTATCGTCATTTTGATTTTGGTCTTTTCAATTTTAAATGATAGGTTTTAGTCTCTCAAGAAATATAATTGTTCAAGTTCTTATTAAATTATAGAGATCAATATTTTAAACTAAAAAAAAACTTAAAGAATTAAACTTATAATTTTAAATTTGAGAGATTAAAATCAAAATAAGCATAAACTTAAAAAACAAAAAACCACGTTGACCCATATTTCGGTGCATAATATATTATAAAAAAATCAGTAAAATAACATTAATCCTTAACCATCATCATTTTTAAAATTTAAGGTGATTCTATCATTTTTTTTTTTTGGGGAAAAAAATCGCCTTGGTTTCTTTTGTAGAAAACGAAGGTTAACAAACGTTTGAACAGAGAGTAAAGAAAAAGAAAGAAAGAAAGTAGCGTCTAAACAAATACAAGACGCCGTCCTGAAACAACATCTTTCAATGCCATGAATGCTACATGTGCGTACCGCAATTTACTCCGTATTGTTTATTGGAAGCGTTTTCCCCATTTCAACGTCTCACAAATATAGAATTATATAATTATGAGATGTACAAGCATAAAGTAAATTCTTACATATACTTTATATTTTTTTTTTCAAAAGCAAAATCTAACTTGTTCTTAACATTAGCAAAATCATCACCTTATAATAAAGTCAAGGGCAACGATTTCCCCTGATTCAGGGGCTTCTCTATTCTCCTAGATAATTTTTTTGCAAGAAAATGATTCGAATTTTTTTTTAAAGAATTCTTATAAAATTTTCTTTATTTTGATTTTCCTTTTTCCAGATGAGGTGAGAGAGAAATAAATTCTCTCGCTAGGTAAAATCGTTTGATTAACAGTTTTATCAAGCATCTAAGGAATTAGGATTCGATAATTAAAGATTACTGTAATAATAAAATTACTTAAACGAAAGCACAGGAATCAAGAGAATAATTAAGAAAAACTATCATAATGAATAATATTACATGAGAATTTGTCTTTGAACAAAAAAAAAAATCGATTAGTTAGGATGACAAAATATTTTTATCAAGATGTTGACTTGAGTAATTGATAAATCGAAGTATATCTTTTTTCTGGGGCCTGAATTAATCAACGTATATCTCAAACTCAAAAGTACAAGTGAAATTGACAGGTGACAAAATGCCCAACTCAACCCACCCGTCAAGATCTAACAAATTATGGCGCACAACCATTACGCAAAAAAAAAAAAAAAAAAAGCAGAACAGTAAGGAAAATAGAATACACCTTCTGAATTATAAATCGATCAAGAAGAAAATAAAATATTAGCTCAATTATAAATCAAACCTCTGTAAAGCGATGTTCTTGTGAAGCTCCTCCGGTTATTAACTTGGAGAACGTTGGAGGATTCTACCACCAGTCCCACTAATTAAACAGAGAAGACAAATAAAGTGATCATAATTATAGCCTTCTGGATTGACCTTCAATAATCTTTTAGGGGCAAAACTACAAAGCACTTCCGTCTTCTCAGTGACCCCAATTGCGAGCTCTTGTCAGTGCGCTCTAGCAAGAATCAAAAGCAGTCGACAAGGTTTAATATTCATCGGCTCCAATCATGACACAGAGATTTCCGAAGGCCAATTAGAAAATTTCTCTGGAGTTGTTGGCATTGATTCAGCCCGCACAATGTATATACCGCACAAAAACCATGCTTCGCGCCATCTTAGCAACTTCTTGATTCATCTTACCAAACTTTCTGAATATTCCCCTTTTACATCATTAAAAACAGAAGGGAGCAGTTTTCATATAAGCCTTGACTTTAGATAGAGTAGAACAAGTCAGAAGTATCCTGCAGAAGTTTCATAGAAAGGAGGACAAACTGTATAAAATTAGGGGCACACAAATATACCGCCTAAGTGGAGTAAGCAAATAACTGAACATACGTTAAATTCCCAGCTCCTCACCATTTTCATTTTAGCGAGAGAAATGATTTTCCAACTAATAGCAAAGCCAACTTAAGCTCCCACGGAGCATGCTTAATTCTGGGATTCGTAACCAAGAGAGCACGTTATATGATCTGGTGCGCGCATAAGAAAAATCTTAACCAAGATAGTACTTGTACTGGCTCGAATGATAGGCAATCATCTTTGGATGTCTTTTAACTTCAGCTTCAACTTCATGTTTCCAGCTTGGACAACAATTTCTTCTTTTGATGAATCTACTTTTAAAACTGTTACCTTCTTTCCAATGGAAGAGACATGCACTGCATCACCAACCTTGGGAAGCCTAGACTCCTCTGCATCATTAAGAGGTGAATGGCAATGGTGACTAGTCATCGAAAATCTTTCTTTCTTATGCAAATATGGGATATTACTAATACAAGATAAACGAGAATTTCCCAACTGCAAGGAATTAAATTTGGCCAAAGAATAAAGTACCAGAGTTCCAATTCCTCTCATCTGCCTTATTTCTTACTGCTTACCTGCCAATGTTCGGTTAATTTTCTTAACAGCAGCTGTACTCCCATCTGCAACTGCAGTAGTAGATTCTTTGTTATCTACTGATTTATGTTGGTAATTGGCAACTGATGATTGAGGGACTTTATCAGCTTTATTGGGCTGCAAAACTTGTCTTGGAGATGTACGTAGCTGCCGCACTCTCTTGTGAAGGATGGACCGTGCCATAGCTGCAGCCTCAGATACATTTTGCATCTTTCTAACTCGTACATTAGCACTGTGCTCTGTGATCTTCCTATTGGAGTCCAACAAACTATCATGAAGATCTCTAGATTGCCTACAATTACAATCATAAAGAAGTTATGTAAGCTAAGAACTAACAGCAGCATGCTAGCCGCTCCAAATATATGGTGATTTATGCTAATTGTTGCCTGCGTGCATTAGCTATTGGTTCACGGGGGTAATATGCCAGTGTAGAACATCAAACTACAAATAATGAACAGGTAACATGACAATGTCCTCCTCCTCCCCTTTGACCAGATAGCTAAGAACTACTAGTTGCTTGCTAGCTTACCTCTCTTTGAATTACGCAATAAATGAATGTATTTAAATCTAGAAGTAATCATTTTAAGAGCAAACGGAGTCTTACACCAGATAATTATGTGCTTCATCTAGTAGCTCTTGATAATCTTGTTTATACTTCTCCATATCAGTTATTACCTGCAAAGAAAAGAAATAGATCAAATAGGTGCGTAAGCCTTGGAAATCCATTGCATTAAGTTGTCATTGTTGATAGCAAATAACCGCAGCTAATGACCAAGTTATGTAACTACAATTGCGCCACCATAAACAAGTGTTACTAAATATTTATCTATTTTCTAATCTTATCTAATTGACTTTGGTTTTTGACATAGCCCCATTATTAAAACAACAGTATGCAGACCGAAAGCATGCAAGTTCAAAATAAAACACACTGGACCGGACATTGAAAACCATATTCCTTTCATCAAACTACAACATGCATACAATAAAACAACTTGTTATGCAGCATTAAGCATGTACCTCATCTATCTCTGCACTAGCAGCACCATACAATTTACGTGCAGCATCTACAACAATAGACGGAAGTCCCAACCTCTCAGCTATATTAATTGCATTTGAGCGCCCTGCAAAGAAAATCTCTTTTTAATTAGTGTAATTCCAGCACAAATAATGTCAGCTATCATTTACAATAAATCCATAAACATTTGCATGGTAAGAAACAAGGGCAGTTCTATTCAGTACTTAGAGATTACATCAAGTAATCTCACCCTTCTCAATCATAAGAAAATAATATCTTTTCTCAGGTAACTTTCATAAGGCCCAGACGCTATATTAGAAGTCTTTTCTCAGCCAATTCCCTCTGCAGGGCCTTTTTCTGGGGTTCAAAACCACACCCACAAACAATGTAAAGCGGGTGGATAAAGCAAAATAGAAAAGTGAGAAAGGACGGACATAGACAATCCAGAAAGATGCATCCATCAATAAACTCGTAATTTTCACGATATTATTCATATATAAGAAGGTTCTGACCAGGTACTCCCCAGAGGATCTTGTACGTTGGCTTCAGGTTCACTTCATCAAATTCCATGCATGCATTCTCAAAGACCTCATTGCTGCTCATGAAATCAAGATTTGAGACCAAATGTAATCAAGTATCAGAAATCAGAAAGAACGAAAGTATAACTTTATAATAAATCTAATGCTGCAAGTTCCTCACCCAAAAAAAACTGTAAATTCAAAGACCAATACATATATAAATTTTGCTACAATTGCATTCGTGTCTGCTCACAAGTAATCTGAAAAATGTAGCTGATAGAAAACTGACATATGACATAATCTTCACCGGCCCTTCCATTGTCTACATAGAGCATGTCCTTTGAAGTTTTATCTACATCCTTTTTATGGAATACCTGTATTTCAGGGTTTTCAGTTCCCCATGGTGAGTTGTAGCCATTGTCAACAAAGAACCATCTATGGCAAAAGATTCCAATAATGCCATGCCCAGTGCAGCTCCCTCAAGGGGGTTTGTTCCAGCACCAACCTAAAAAAATGTGATAAAAGGACCATCAATCATGTGCATGTATGACATATTTATCGAACTGTTTCTCAAGCACATTTAGCACATGCCTCATCCAGTAGCACCAGTGACTGCTGTGTTGAATGTGATTTAATATTCTGCAAAATATAATGAAGATCATACATGAGATTTTCTATACAGTTTAAATTTAAGAAAATAAAATTGCATCTTAAACTTCAATACACGTGACTGACATCTTGGGAACAGTCAGCAAGCCCCTGATTTACATATAAAATTCTGGCAGAAAAACTGAACAATCCGTCTAGCATATATATATACACATTTAGAACAAAAAACAATGATGACCTTTCCTTTAAACTTCTTAAGTTGCAACTCTATCGGAGTGGACAACAAGACCACACAAAAGTACAAGTTAGATATTGGTAGCATAAGCATGCAACGTAAAATGATACGAGAGGAAACATTGACCACACAGACTTGTATAGTAACAGGCCAAAACAATATCAGACAAGTATGCAATAACTCTATATAGAATTTCAGAATTAATAGGTCTAATATGTCAAAACTTGATAAATCCATAATAATATGAATCTACACAACCCAGTCTCCGTAGTAGTCTGCTGGGAGGTGACTCTATTCAGCACAAGAATATCACCATCAAGAACAAAAGGAAATCAGATCAAACATTCAAATAGTTGTGATTGATAAAAAACTCAAGACAAACAAAGTCTCAATCATTTTTATCATAATCTTCTTGGAAGCAGTTTAATAGCTTCAGAAGTGTGTAAGCAGGTCATAGCACTGACAATCAAGTGTTGACAGTTGCTAACAAAAAAAAAATCAGGCAAGATATTTCAAAATAGAGAGCGGAGGAACATTTTGTAGAAAATATATGTTACATACGCTTATCTGTTTCAGATGTCCAGAGAAGGTAGATAAAGACTGGGATAAGGACTGCTCATCACCAATGTCAGCAAAAACAGAATCAAACCAAGGGATTTGCGCAGATTCAGAAGCAAGAATATAAAGGCCTGCAATATGATGCATGCAGAGCATGAGAGCCTATAATGAACATAATGAATGTTTATTCAGGAAAAACATTTGCAGAAAACCTCTGGCTTCTCACAGTCAATACTGCATTTTATTTGTCAAAGATGCCAGTAGACAGATTCATTTGAAGATTCTATCATCATCAGTAGATTATTTTATTAATAGAAATGGCTCAGGCTGCTTGTTAGGAAAGCTGCTTAGAATATGTTACAATTTTAGCACACCGTCTCACTTTCCTCGTTTGAGATGGACTTCTTGTTCAATGTTACAATTTTAGCACACCGTCTGTCATCTAGAGCACATTTCTGTTTTATCTCATATCAGTGGTTAATCTAAAGAAAACAATTCGGTTAATCCAACACATGCGATGCTCTCTTAACATCCCCCTGCCAAAAAAAAGAAATATTGCCTCCTCTCTTTTTTATTCTATGTACTAAAAGAATCCAACTATTCTGATATTTTGTCAACAATGTAGTCAAATTTCGTCAACAAGTTTCTTACAAGACAAGCACTAATTTGCTCTTTCATTTAGCGGGGCAAAAGTTTACAACAAAAGAAAGTAAATTTGGGGGAAAGTATTTGCTATTCTTTAACCTCAATTGAACATTTTCATTGCGCCACCCATTCAGAAAGGAAAAGCAAGGAAGCACACAAATGAGACAAATTTGATGCAGAAATTAGACTAATGTAACACTTTGCCCACTATCCACATTAAAATGCACACGCTCGAAAGTAGCTATCCATTGAAGCATCTCAAGGCAAGTGGGATAGATTTTTCCTGTGAATTGAAATGAATATCACGTCTCTGCCAATTATAGATAGAGCAAGATTACTGGCAACGATTAAATTTCAAATATAGAAGAAACATCTATAATTTTGTGGAAGCAAGAAGTACACTCAGAGTTACAGGGTTCTGGTAGAATATGCTTGTATGAAGTCAAGGCCATGTGAAGGCAGTCAAGAGTCGAGTAACAACAGTAGCAAATGCTACTAAGCCACCATGATGGCAACAGATGACCAACAAGCCTTGCCATTGTAAGATTAAATAAAACAAATTCAAGAAATTTATAAAATAAGAGGGTTGTAATTCATTCACATAAAAAAATTATGAAACAGAAGTTTTCTGTGAGACAGCATAGAAGTTGAGCAAACCTGATTTTGCCATCATAGCAGCCAATCCTATGGTCTTCAAGCATATGGTTTTACCACCGGTGTTAGGGCCAGTTATAATTAAAACACAAGTTTTCTGGGCAACGAAAAAATCAACTGGAACTGGGGATGGGGGATCTTGCTCTAGCATGCCAACCTGACAATCGAAATGTAGGTTTATGAGCCAGAACATCAAAAACTTAAAGATGCATGAAAATATGTAAATAACAAAACTTCTTGTCCGCTATTACCCCTATCAATCAAAATATCAGCCATGTATCCAAAAGAATCTTGGTGTACAATAATTTGAGCCTAAGTGTAAAACCCCAAGCTACTTTTGCTTCTCTAAGATGTAATCCATGTGTTAAAGATTTCTTCATCTTCTGAGGCGTACAATAATTTGAACCTGAGAAGTTTAAATCCCCAATATATGTTTTTCTTCTCTAAGACGTAATCCATGTGTTGAGATTTCTTCATTTTTTAAGTTCAGAGAGGGATAAGGGAAAAACAAAAACGTAACATGATCACATCAATGAAAATAACTCAAATAAACCTTTTTCCTAGAGGCCGGTGACTTAAATTAATGAAGAACAAGTCAGTTTTCACCCTTTGTGACTTACTGGGCCAGCATGACTGACATCCCTTTTGGCCTTCCGCAAAATTTCCCTATGCTGCTGGAGCAACAAAGGATGATAAGCTTTTGGCAGATACAATTTCCACTCTCTAATGCTGGGGAACTGCTCGCCAGAATTGTTGTTACCAACTATTTTTGTAGTAGAAGGGCCATTTCTATCCAGCAAAAATATATGAGGACTTGTTCCTCCAAAAGAAAGACCATAAGTAGCTCTAGCATTGATCTGCACAATAGGAACCAAACAATCAAACAAGCAGATGAGGGAATAATTTGATAACGTATCACCAACAAGGATAGGCAGAATAATCGAACAATCATGGTCTTTCAGAAAATTCTTCTATCATCTGTGACTTTGTAGTTTGGACCATTAAAATGTCAGAAACAATAAAACAAGCAAGAAAGCATAGAAGGTGAAGGAGATGAAGAAGACTAGAACATGGAGATCCAATTCTCTTAAAAGGTTATATGTATTTACCACATCAAGTTGAACCATCGTGTTCAATATCCTTTCAAGGTCATGAAGTTCCAGCTGAATCTGCAGATAAACCAGATAACATAAGAAAAGATGTTAAACTAGAAAAGAATTTCCATCATATCACATTAGCAACCTTTTCTGTTAATCTCAAAAGCACATCAGCCTCTGCTTTAGCCATTAAAGCTTTAGCTTGTTGCAACTCATCATTTAATGGAACAGCAGAAAGAGGCTCTACAATACTTCCTCCCCCTGAACCACTGTCAAAATATGCTATGATTCAGAAGTAGAATTTTATCACCACCAACTAGCTTTATTAAGCAAGAAACAAAGAGATTATGTGACCAACCAAACCAATAGTTTCAAAATAATCTGACAAATGTTATGCACCTGGATAATAAGAGACCCTTAAAGCTTGTCCTCTGACCAGAATCCACTCGAATACACCACCTGCCATCAATTTTATTCACTTCCTGGTCCATTATAACATGATTATTAGGGAAAGCGTCATAAAGATGAAAAGCACATGCAGTATATTACATCTTACAAGAATTGAAGTTTCACTCCTTTCATTTCTGATCAAGCTCTCCATCAACCGATGTATCTGATATAAAAGGATAATTCCATTTCAAACATCAACTTGGATAGAATGTTAAACCAGCACAATTCAAAGATCATGACAAGAAGATCAGTAAGAGAAAGCAAAGAGAGGGAGATACCAAAGTTGTAGTATCAAGGGCTTAGAAACTAGCTACTTAAGACAACAATGAATAAAGGCAGTGATCTGAAGGAATGAAATTGGAATCTATATATATTTTCACACTAATTAAATTGAAACTTTTTGGTGACTCTACAGTTATTATTCTCAGTTCAAGTTAATAGGTTTTGGTTCAAGTCAACTGCAACTTGATCTCCTTTTTCGCAACTTTTACAATCCAGGTTGTTGAGATTAATTCTAGTGTACTGAGTCTCAACTTTTATGTTCCAGTTATGACAGTTGGAATCATTGAGAAGTAATTATTTCAATGATAAAAAACATTAGATGGAAGAAAGAACAAACGAAGAAGAGGGGGAAAGAAGCGGCACCTTCCTCTCAAGTGACAACACCTGTTCTCGTGACTGTTTAAGGGCTGGACTCTAGAGGAAGAAAATAAGTTCCGAGTTACATGATAATTTTAAAACAAGGAACAATTGCTAGTATGGCAGCAGTAAAAGAGGCATCTATCTCTTGAATTATGCAATGATTGAAGTAAAGAAAGCTAAGAATACAATACAAGCCTTATAGGTTACCATGATCTATGATCATGGGTGTGCATGGAGTCAGAAAAAGGAAAACTGTATGAGATATAGAACAAACCGCCGAGTCCTTGACAGAACCATTTTCATCGATAACTTGCTCTGTCAATCTAACCAATGATCGGCTAATGACAAATTCCATTATCTGAAAGATAATAACAAAGAATGGTCATGGAAACATGAAAATGCACTCAAAGGCAACCCAATAATTAATAAACTAAATCATATTGAACTATTTACCACTTCAGTAAGAGGCATGAAACGACTATACCAATCTGCATCTTCCTTGATCGCAGCTTTCATATTAACCTGCAAGGTTTCAGCATGCTGAAGAAGAGCAACAATGGCCAATGCCTCAAAGCCGTTTACTGGTCTATTTCTCCGAGCATGCTGAATAGCAGATTCCACCTACAAGGATATCAATTAAATAACACCAAGTTAGAAGTAAGGCAACAATAAAGACGACAGTAAACTATCTTCTGTATATTTGGCAGAGTAAAATAATAAGAGAGCCCACATTCAGCCAGAATTTGTTTTTAAAAGGAGAAAAGCCAGAGTTACGACGTGGAGAAAAGGTAAAGTATGTATTCAATTTGGAATCAACATGATATGCCAAATTTAAATTATTTTACCTGGATGAATACAACCAAAAACCGTGAATGAAACCCCACAAGTCATCATGACAGTAAAGTCCTCGGATTATGTAATACAGCTAACTACACCATGACATATATGAACAGGCTCAGCTCCAAAAAAAAAGGACATATATGAACAGGCAAGACAAAGAATGAAAACCAAAGTATGATTTAAACTCCACATTTTTTTTGGGGGGTAAAATATGCTAATTGAAGTTTGATAAGCTCTCAGACAGACTCTGAAGCCCAGGACTGGAAATACCGCTTAAATTCACATATTGTCTCCCCACCCCAAGTTTTATTGTGCGGCTCTTTCCGTAACAGTAATACAAGTACATAAGAATTGAATTTCCACACTAACCAGAGCAGCGTCAATATGGCCGAAGTCCAGTCGACAACCTCCATGCTTGTGCATTTCGACGGCCGCATTGGTTTCATTCAGCAGTCTCAGACTCTCGTCGTAAGTCTGAGTCAGAGACCATAGCTGTGCCTGCTCAGTCAATAACCATAAAATCAAACAAGAAAGATAAGCAAGAAGCAAACAAAAACAGTCACGTAAGGAGGCCGAGACGAACTTTGACAGCTTCGCGGCCCAGAGAAGTGGTGGCAAAGGAAGCAACCAAATCGCACAGTTTATCCCATTCCAGCACTCGGAGACTGCTATAGTGAATAGAAGAAGAGGAAGCAGCCAAGGGCTGCCTGAGTCTATGGTGGAATTTGTTAATTTTAATGGTAATCGGAAAATTGATTGAGGTGGCGGCGATGGAGATGGCTGTACAGGAAAACATGTTACGCGTCAGTTAAGTGTGTTGAGGCTGAAGAACAATTGCTAGGTCCCTGGCACTCAATGGTATACATGTTCCAATACAGTACACAGAAGCAGGATAGAGATGGATAAAACCACCATAGATAACGCTTGCGTTTGCTCGGCGCTTGTAGAATACCCGCGCTTATCACTTGTTTTGTTGGCGCGTTGGCCGGAAACGATAAAATAGCACCCTTTTTTAAATTTGTATGATTGTATTTAAATATAATTATTATTTCTTAATTTTAAGTTTGTCTCTGATTAAATTAAGTCTTATGCATGTGTGATGTCACTACAAAATCTTTCTTTTTGGTATGGTTATCGGGTACGTACATAATATCATTTACTAATTAATATTTAAATATTATTAATCAAATGAGAGTTGCTTTTTCCTTACACAGGATTCCGCAGTTTAAAGTTTAAAAAAAAAAAATATTGAATTTTTTTTCTTCTCAATCCAATTATTGTTTGACTATATGTATATTGAATGAAACACGAGACGATAAAAGCCCAAATATCTTACATAAAAATGAAAATAATGATTAGACACAAGACTAACCAATGTTGTCCGTATTAATGGAGATCGATGAATCTGATATGAGTTGGATGTTTCAGCTGCACTTTAATCGCGGAAAGATCGTCCTTATCATCGTTGTTCGGAGCAAGTTGTGTCGAGAACCATTCTAAAATTATGTGTCCTCTTGTAAGATTGTGACGATTCCAAACGAAACCTTGTCATATTCGATTGCTAGACACGAAGAAAAAAGAAATAATGCCGAGGATAAAGCTTCTTGCCATCTTATTGCGTAGTTTGTCAGTGATTTGATTCGAATTGTTGAACTGGATGTAGAATTAGTTGACGCGTATTAGCAAAAAAAGTACGGTCAAATCGGTTGTTTCTGCTTAAAACCTCCCATGTTGACGTTGTTCATCAGATTCATATTTGACTATGCTAATTGTCCCGTTTTATTACTAATTATAGCATTACCGTTTATACTAATAAACAGAATTCATAATCAACAACTGAAAGCGAAACTCCCAAGATGAGAAGTGTGAGTATTTGACATAATCCATTAAGCGTATATTATTTCTCTGTTCTAACTTAATCAGAATGCAATAAACAAAAACCAGTCGTTACTGGAAAAGGGAAAGAAGGAAAAGCATAATGATTGAGTTCACAAAGAATCTGGAAATCGATGGTGCTCTGATAGTTATCCGAAAAAGAATTGGAGAATCTACAGGTGTCGTGATCTGCACTGGACGTGCGGGAAGTAATTAACGATATTTGTCGCAGACAACACCAATGGAGAGATAACTTTCAATTGTAAAACGTCAGAACACAGAAAGTGATAAATCCAACCTAATTCGGTAATGAGATTCTTCCTCCCGTGTCCACAATCTTTGACCCCCGCGCGCACGCGCGCTGTAACCAGACAGCGTATAGATTTTCTCCTTTGTCATTTTCCTCATCTTCGTCCCTTTCTCTGATCTGAATTTCTACACTTCTGTTCCCCCGCGACACGTTCATTCAGAGACACAGAGACGAGCTCAGATCCCAGCCAGACAAAACAGTACAAATCAAGCTCACTTTTCCGATGGGATTAACCAGAGATGAAGAATCAAGCACCCACATATCCGACAGCAACAAAACTCTCTCCTTTCTAAGGTACAATTCTCCATTTGTCCAAATCATCCTCATTGGTCTGGTCTGCTTCTGCTGTCCTGGCATGTTCAATGCCCTCTCTGGAATGGGAGGGGGTGGTCAAGTCGACCCCACTGCCTCCAACAACTCTCTCACTGCCCTTTACACCACCTTTGCTGTTTTCGGCATCCTCGGCGGCGCCATCTACAATATCCTCGGACCCCACATAACCCTCTTCGCAGGCTGTTCCACCTATGTCCTCTACTCTGGTTCCTTTCTCTACTACAACCATTACCACCACCAAGCCTTTGCCATAGTCGCAGGTGGTCTTCTTGGTGTGGGTGCTGGCCTCCTGTGGGCTGCACAGGGTGCGATCATGACATCATACCCTCCGGCGAATCGAAAAGGGACTTACATTTCCATCTTCTGGAGTATATTCAACATGGGCGGTGTGATTGGTGGGTTAATTCCTTTTATTCTAAATTACCATCGTACTGAGGCTGCTTCTGTCAATGATGGAACCTACATAGGTTTTATGTGTTTCATGTCGCTTGGGGCTATTTTGTCATTGGCTATCTTGCCACCCGGTAAGGTAGTTCGTGATGATGGGACAAAGTGCACAAATATCCAGTATTCCAATGCGTCCACCGAGGCTTTAGAGATTCTGAAGCTGTTCTTTAATTGGAAAATGCTTCTAATAGTTCCTGCTGCTTGGTGTAGCAACTTCTTTTATACTTACCAGTTCAATCATGTTAATGGAGCGCTGTTCAATTTGAGGACTAGAGGGTTGAACAATGTGTTCTACTGGGGAGCACAGATGGTGGGTTCAATGGGAATTGGATACATAATGGATTTCAGTTTTAAGAGCAGGAGGAAGAGAGGGTTTGTGGGAATTTGTGTCATTGCTGTTGTTGGGTCTTCCATATGGGCCGGTGGACTGGCTAATCAGTCGAGGTACTCCACAAATGATTTGCCTGAGAAATTGGATTTCAAGGCCTCAGGCTCTGCCTATGCTGGACCATTCGTCTTGTATTTTAGTTTTGGATTGCTGGATGCCATGTTTCAGAGCATGGTTTACTGGGTTATTGGAGCCCTTGCTAATGATTCTGAGACCTTAAGCAGGTGATTATTCTCTTTTTTTCTGGTTGGAGAAATTCTTAGCCACACACAGATGTATGTTATGGGTGCTGAGATTAATTTTCAACTTTTTATCAGATCCACGCTTAGTTGCGCCATTAGGAAACTCTTCATAGAAATATATGATATTGCATGCGTACTTTACTTGGAAATCATCTAATAGTAATTGAATTTATGCAGGTACTCTGGGTTCTATAAAGGAATACAAAGTGCAGGAGCAGCAGTAGCTTGGCAAGTTGACACCCATAAGGTTGCTCCCATGTCACAGTTGATTGTGAACTGGGTGCTCACTACAGTGAGCTACCCATTACTGTTAATTTTGGTTATGTTGGCTGTGAAAGAGGACGATAAGACCGAAGAGGAACCTGCCTAACCGCCTTATTCTTCATCTGCACAACAATGACTTTGTCCAATAGAAGAGAGTGTATATATATGTAACTCATTTTGTAGGAAACAAAGCGAAGGTGACAGAGAAAAGTTTAAATTCATGTGCAAATCTTTATTCATGGTCCATTCAAGAGGGATGGCACGCATAATGAAGGTCAGTTATTAAAGCTTAAGCTTGTGTTCATGCATCATACTGAAGAGACCAGAAAAGGTTTATGAAAATGCTAGTTTTTAATGTTTCTTTTTGGGAGTGAAAAATGAAGTTTGGGCTTGAGTTGATTTTAGGCTAACATGAATGCAGGAGCAAATTGAACAAGAACTTAGTTGGGGAATTTACATGGCTTTTTAACTTATGTGCTCGCTTTGTTTTCACAACTTCTTTTGTTGTTTTGGTCATCGTTTTTAACCAAGTTCTCAATCAAGCTGTTATAACTTGTTTGGCCCTTTTTGTTGCCAATATGTTATCAATAAATAACAATACAAGATAAAAAGGGAAAAAAAACATCCATGGAAATACCTAAAATAAAACAGCAAAGTTGGTCTACCATTTGGTAACAATGATTGCGCAATGGATAGGTCACTCACAATCACAAGAAAGATTGATCTTGGATGTGTGCGCAAATCATCTATTTCCAGACTGGCTGACAAATTACTTTAAAATATTTAATTACTAGGATGGTTAATCTCACCCAGAAAAGGAGCCCTTGGCGCCATCAACTTGTTTTTTTAGCAATGTATCCTGAATAAAGCAACAGATTTCGAAACTGAAGCCTTAAACTCTCCACTCAATCCAACTATATTGTTTGAAAAGGATCTTCCTCTCTAATATACTTTAGTTTTAAATTATCTTAATTATTTATTTTAAAAAAAATGTCGTAATCATTTCAATTGTTACTTCTTCTTGTTTTTTTTTGACTATATTGCAGATGTGAATGAAAGTATCTCTGGTTTTATCAGCTCATTTATTACTTTGTTCTCGAGACAGTTAACTTTTGTTATTTTAATCTGCCAATTACTTAACACGTCCTTGCTGTCTAAATCATTTCCTATTAATTTCCTAATCAGGCATGCGAATGCATATGTAATCGTCACTTTCGTTTCGAACTCCAGACGCGGGCAGCAAACTATAATAAAGCATTGAATTTAGAAAATAATCATTTGTTTGCTGGGGAAAAGGTTGGATTCTTTCCTTTTGTTTCGCCTTCTGATGCAGATTAACCTTCCCAATTCGTCAACCAGGCTTCAGTTCTCGATGGCTTCGCCCTTCTTTTCTTGTTGTAATGTAGCTTGAAAAGAACAGCGCAAATAATAACATCGATTTACCTGTCATCGGTATCACCGGCTCATCCTTGGCCATTCAACTCTATATGAATATTCTGATTCAATGTTACAGGTATGTATGAGCACCATTTTTTTAATCCAAAAAAGCTTTATAAATTGTGTCTCGATCGAAAGCAAGCTCTCCTCGCCCAAAAATCAGCCATGCCCGCGATCTCACAAACCACACACATTCTAAGCTTCTCATCTTCCTCATCATCAAGCGCCGTCACGATCATCGTGGTGTTCGCCCTCAGCCTGTTTCCCATGGTTCTGGCGGAACGAGAATCCTCACGCATCCTCCGGCTGCCCTCGGAAAATTCAAAAATGACACCGTGGTCGTGTCCGGTGAAGTGCTTCCGGGCCAGTCCGGTGTGCGGGGAGGACGGGGTGACGTACTGGTGCGGTTGCGCCGAAGCGGAGTGCGCGGGAACGAAGGTGGCGAAGTTGGGGTTCTGTGAAGTGGGAAGTGGGGGCTCGACTCCTCTGCCGCTTCAGGCGCTACTGTTGGTGCATATAGTGTGGCACATTGTGATCGGCTTCTCTGTATTGTTCGGCCTCTTTTGAACTTGAATTCTTCAGGAGCATTAGACTAAATGACTACGAATGATTGGCGGCCGTTGTACGTACCTTTAATCTCGTGGGCTCGCATGCATGCAAAATTTGGTGCCCATGGTTAGTCCTACTCATATTATACTCGTAATATAATGCCAAGGGGACTAGCGTCGGCATCTGTTGAATGTGTCCGATGTTATTGTGATCTTTCATCTTTCTTAGCCTCCATGCCCGCGCGATTCAACATGCTCGGAATTCATAAGGAGGTTCACATTAGTCGAGCTAAAATTCTTGGTTAAAATTTTTTCACATATTTATACTGTATATTGTATTCAACATTCCAAACAAGTTCATAGCAGGCATAGCGACGGATTTGGTATTTTCATACAAATTAGTATTAGCATTGCATGTTTGCGTACCATTGACACAAATCCTGTGGACAATCCAAATTTAAAACATTTAATTTTTAAATCAAACTCTTTTTTTCACATCATTTTATTTTAAAATTTTCATATTCTTTAAATAAAAATAACCAATTTAAATTAAGTTTTAAGAAGTTCTTCGTAACGAAAAAGAAGTTCTAGGAAGTTATACTTTAATTTAATTTGGACAGCCATTATTCCACGCTTCATTCAACTTGTTAAATTAAATACGACACACAAATTACGTTTGATATTAATCAATGTTAATATATGATATTAAAATTTGAAGAAGCTGTATGCAAATTAGGGAAAATTAAGCTTCTCAAAATCACCATCACATGGTATAAAACGATAATATAAATTCTAGCGCAAATTGGAAGTCTAAGCTCCCATAACTTTAAAAATAATTTATCATTCCAGGTCTAACTCGAGGACATTATACTCACACAGTGTTTTGTCTTTTTTTTAAAAAAAAATTACTCTCACTTTAATATTAAAAATAACATACGTATCTTAAAAAATCCAACTTCCTATGAAATAAAAATTAAATAAACAAATTACATGCAAACTTCTCAAGAAGTATGATTAATACAAAAATGCAAACAATTGCTGTTGCGTTTATAGTCTTGCACAACTGACATGACTTCTAGAGTGTGGCAATCTGGGCAAATGTTTGGGGAAAAAACAAGCACATGGGTACTCAAAAAAAAAAAATCATCTTTTTTCTTTGCCAACAAAAACATAGCCTTCATCTGCTCATGTATTATTCAATAAAAGAGAAAGGAAGAAAAGAAAGAAACTAAGGGGGAAAAACCCGAGAATGACCAATGGTCCCGGCATGCGGGCAGAATATTTCTTCATTTTTCATTTTCTCTCCAGAATTTCTATCCCAGTCATTGAATGATTAATGCTACAGCAACAAATAGCAGTAAAATTAAAATCAAGTCCAACGACAATCTCAGACTTCCCTCTCTTCCAAGTCAAAATTTTAATCACAACATACGCGAGATCAAAGAAATGGGAAATATTAAAATCAAAGATTATTCCCTTTTTGGGGGGCTTTGGAGAGAAAATCCCGGTTTGTCATGATGTTGGGGTACCTCATCCCTTCCAGTACCCACTGTTGGGTCATCATCTTTGCCCTTGCTAGAGGTATCATCCCCCTCAATCTGTCCTGGTATTGAAGAGGATATGGTCCCCTCAAGCTTATCATTAGAAACATTAGCAACCAAACTTCTGTACATAGTAAGAGCCTGAGCCATCATGTTAGCGGGATTAGATGCAGAGCTAGGAAGCAGCATTGTTGTACCCTGAGGAAAAAACAAAAGGCATCAAACAAATATTAAAGTTAACAATTCTTGAAATGCTTGGATTTGCATGTAAATCAGCTTGTAGGCTACCTCCTTGGCTATGTTACTAAAGGCATGAATATATTGCTCTGCGATCCTCAAACTTGCTGCCTGCAAACCAAATGACAATATTAATTCCTTCCAAGGTTATGCTATTAGCCTTGCCGAAAGTTTGATAAACCAAACAGCGTCACTGAGAAGAATCTGTTTGTTCAAGGATAGCACTAACTCAAGCTTGATAAGCACTTCCATGTCATCTACATGTTCTTGTATTTGAATGGTTCCATCCAAGAAAACAAGCATACAAAGAGAGGACCCAGCACCTCTTGCAATGTTCTCGTGATTGCAACACAGAGGGTTTACAAAAACAAGTTTCAAAATTACATCACATTCACGCGTCTAGCTAGGACGCCAGATAATTAACAAAATGCACATCAAGCATTGCCGACCAACAAAAAGTAGAAACCACAGAAGAAGAAATCGACAAAAGGTATTGACCATGGGCAACACAGTGTGGTATATGTGTGCGCGCAATACTAGCAGATTAAAGAGCCTCACCTCTAGTCCTCCATTTTCTTTTAGGGCCTGCGACACATGCACAAGACCTTCAGCTGTTGCTCTAGCTTTAGCAAGGATGGCTTCAGCCTCACCTGGGAAAGAATTTTCTTACTCATGAAAGTTCTAAAATATCAAAGGAAAAGTTCTATAGGATATGAAATTCATCAGTTTTTGTTTACTTCAAAGAACAATTGATGGATCAAGGAAATTGAAGATAGCACGCCAAAATTGCCAATCCATGGTTTAACATTGTCTAGTCAAATTGAAAACTGTGCTAAAAATGAAAGTCTATCCATGATTATTTTGATACGAAATGCTAGAATGTAAAATAAAAAAATGTTATCACATTCATGTTTAGCCAGCATCAAACTGCATTAAAAATCATAAAATTGATTATGTTTACTCTTGGAACTGATGCACATAAAGTAACTAACCTAGGGCTCTGTTAACCTGGTCCATCTTTGCAGCTTCTGATGCTAAAATCACCGAACTCTTCTTACCATCAGCTATATTTATGTGGGCCTGTCTTTCTCCTGTATAGGCGATAGCAATTATGGAAATAAGTGTCAGCATATGCATGAGCTTCAAAGTTCAATGAAATAGATCTTCAGGATCAATATTGATGTATAATATCATCCTAGAACTCCTGAGGAATTGAAATAGCAAATTGATTACCTTCGGACTCAAGAATTTGAGCTCTCTTTTTACGTTCTGCTTCAGCTTGCATTTCCATAGCTACTCTAACACCACGAGGAGGAGATATATCCCCTGAAACACAGAAAGGGAAACTCACAGAAATTTACAAGCAGGTACAAAGGAGATTGTTTCACAGCTTACCCAAACTTACTTATTTCATATCGAAGACACTCGAGGCCCCAACTTTTTGCAGCGACATTAATGGCCTCCTGTAACAATGTTATCGTATAACCAATTATTGTTTGTCTTAGATGATAAAATAAGACAAGATATCCTGATATTACAAGTTCCCTTTACTCATAAGCAGCAAAAAATCACAAAGCAGGTTTAGAGACCATAATCTGAAGTTTGACCCTGTTCAAAATGCTTTACGCTTTAACTCAACTCCTCCAATCCTTCTACCTATGCAGTATAAGGTTCTCTCATCATTCATACTTGCGTATACCTTTACAAGTTTAGATATAGATTACCATCATATAGAAAACTAACACAGATATTTACCACAACAGTATCAATTGGCAGTGAATCTCGCCAAATGCCACTAATTCAAGATTCTCTTCACAATTTAAGAGAACATTCTAATATTTTCTTATAAGAATTTTCACACTTCTCAAGTTTGAGTTCATGAGTTGTACCGTGGAACATGAAAAAATGATAATTCAATCTTCAAGTTAATAAATAGTAGTAGCTGTGTTGCTACCGGCCAAATTTATCTGATTCAAGAAGGACTACATGTAGGTCAAACGCCAAATGCTTCCCAGTTTCTACCGAACTACCGCGGGACACACATCCATTGCAGAACTACGGCGGTTCTACAAGTCCAGGAGTCCAGGACTGCCTCCAACTAGATATTAAGCTGACCTTGTAGTAGCTATGGTGTTCTCTAAGAAAAAGTTGGTGCTAAAATGACTTAAAAGAAGCGAAGTAGCATATAGGAAGTAATTCATGAACTAAACTCACCACAATCTTTTCATTAAGCGTGTCCCTTTCCTCAAAGGTCTTGTCAAGAGTAATCTTACCAAGTTCACTTCGCATTGTCGTCTGTGCAAGCTGAATGACTGCATAAATGGGGTTTTCAACACCATAAGAAGCCAGCTTAGGATCCACAATCTGTGCAAAGAAATATATAAAAGGTGAAAAACCAAGCACCTCGTTAAACTCTAAAACTGGAGGGGAGAGAGAGAGAGAGAGAGAGAGAGAGAGAGAGACATGAAGCCGGTGAAATAAACGGAAGCGCAGACCTTCACATACAACACCCCATCAATTAAGATGTTGACGTTATCCTTGGTGATAGCAGACTGGTCAGGAATATTAATGGCCTCTTCCTTGAGGGAATGCACGTAAGCAATCCGATCGACGAACGGAATCAAAAAATGGATTCCTGACGGAAGAGTCTTCACGTACTTGCCAAATCGCTCAATGACGAACGCCTTCTTCTCAGGCACAATCCGGATTCCCCAATTCACAGGAGGAGTAATCTCATAAATTCTGAGATCAAATACCCCAATCACATAATTTCATACACAACCCCCGAATGAGATTTACGAAAAAATGGATCTCAGCAGTAACTGTTCTCCTATTTTTATTTTTAATATTAAAAAATGGAAATACCTGGGGGTATAATCGCGAGCGTTACGAAAACAGCGGGTGGAGGAGAAGTGAGAGGGCAGTCGAGGAGAAGAAGCACCAGAGAGAGGATGATTGGAGAAGAGAAGGGCTGATTGCTTGGGGATTAGAGTAGACGAAGCAGGTGCTATCGCACGGCAAGTGCTGTAGTTGAAGGCTGCCGGCGACTGACTCAATTGAGTAAGCAAATGCAAGGTGTTGTTCATGGAATTGGGTTTCCGGATGCCCTTCATTTGGCTTGCTTTGGATTTCTCAGCAACCTCTTGTTTGCTGATCTTCAAGCTTCTCTTTTCTGTGTTTGAAGTTTCGGTGATTGTAAGAAGTTCAAATAATATGCAAAGCCCTATTAAAACCTCCCGTCCCCATCTTGGCTATTTTGCCGCAATTTTTTGGGTTGCCTGCGACGCCCGCTGGACTCACCAAGCGGCAGGCATAACATTTGTTGTACCGAAAATTAAATAAATATTTTATGAACATATTTTTTCTTAATTATGATTTGTAATAGTATTTCTGATCTAAATATAAAATATTAATTCATTTTATCTTTCATAATCCTATTAAATGACAGTTCTAATTAATGTAAATAATTAGTAAGGATATTTTAGGAAATTCAACTCAGATTTGTTATAAATAACTAACTTAACAAACTCTCTTAATCTATTCAAATTACTCAACTAATTTTTATATTAAGAACCGGATGTAGTATTATTGAATAATCTGAACAGGAAGTAAAATTTCTTTGACACTGCAATTTGTATAACCTTAAACAATACATTGTGATTAATGAGCTTATACATTGTTTGGCAAGTATCAAAATAATGTACTCATTCGGTCTTTAATATAAAACCTAATTATTGAGTTAACTTTAATCCGGAATACAAAACTTATTTTTTATATTTATCAATTTTTTCTAAATTACAAATATAAGTACTCCACTACCCATAATCAAGTAGGAGAGGGAATGAGGATATTAAAAAGAATGATTATGATGTTTTAAAAAAAACATGTTTTAATTCTTATAATTAATTAACTTATCTAACTTTTTTAATCTAATTAAATTAGTTAAATAGATGTTATATTAACAACAAGGAAGTATAATTGAATCCTTTCACACAAAATGCAATAAAGTGAATATAAAATATTGACTAGGGATTTAAGAGTTTGAACAAAAATAAAAACAAATCTCGACACCAAGGGGAAAAAAAAAAAAAACAAATGTGCGAATGCTTTGTTTATAAAAATCAACTAAACACTTTTTTCTTCTGGCATTTGCATGCTTTATTTTATACGATTTTTATGTATATAGGGGTTACTACTTTTTATAAATAGTACGCATTGTTATGTCTTTTGTATTAACACATTGATGATGATAATTTTTTTTTAATTATGAAATCATTTGCTGTGATATTTACCTTGTTTTGAGAATAGGAATTAACCACGGATACCATGGAATATGAATCTTGATTTTCTTCGCACATCGTTTGATTTCGTACGGAATTCAAACGATTTGCGACTCTGCGGCTGCGCCCTCTCCGTATCAATCCGAAATGGCGATTACGAACATAAAATGCCGCAAAGTTTGGGAAAGTTCAGGGATGAGCTCTGAGTTTGATGGATGGGTTCTGCCCCCATGCTCTTTTCATTTCCAAACTTTCTCATCTCTCTCTCTTTCTATTCTCTGCCTGCAAATCGCCCATATTCTCTCTCCACTTCTACATAATTGGCATTTTGTTGTTTTCACAGCCTCCTTCATACAGGTCCCCTTTGGTGGGCCTAAAGCTACCCGGATAATACTTATTTAGCTGTTATGTTTCTCTTGGCTTGCCAAAAATGATCATCAAACGATCTGTCTGCACTTTAGTGATGGATTTTAGCTAGTTTCGCGTGTGAGCGCTTGGTTTTGGCGAGGGGAGGATGCTATAGATCATCAACCGCAAGAAAAAAGGCGCTCACACCAACCCCTAGAACAGATGCGGGACTGGGAAAATGATTCCTGCGGATGGGTGCTTTCAGAACTCACAAGTCTAAAGATGTTGGACTTCAATGTTGGGCTAAAAGTGGTGTTTGGTTTTGGCGAGGGGAGTATGTTGGGCTTCAATGGATGGTGCACAAATCAGAATCTGAACGCAAATTTTAGCTCCAAAACAATAATTTGTTGCATTCATATCCCACACGAGTTTAACAGTTCGATATAAAGGAAGCTGCTACTCCTTCTAAGAGAAATCAATCGGTTAACTACATACTAATATTAAACATAAACTATAATAAACGGATCACGCAATAAAGAGAGGAAGAATTTTACTGCACGCAAACGCTTTGTTCTACGAGAGCAGGAAAGCAGCCTGCCGCTGTGACCATATGACGCCAGGCTAAATGGGTAAAAAGCAAAAATTCTTGAAACTTAACCATTCCAAAGTATATAAAAGATTATAACAAAAATGAAACAAGATCATCCGAGCACAAAATTTTAGATCGAAATTCAGCAATTGTCTCCGAATACTCTACCAAAACACAAACACTCTAAGCAGAAGAGGCCATCTACTCTTCGAGGATTGTTCCCCTCTCGCTAACGTAAATGCCATCGAGAAACTTCCGGATATCTTTATTCTTGACATGACATTTCTGTTTCAAACAACAAGTAATAGTTAGGGTCAACCAATGCAAAATTAAATGCACCATTTACAGACGAGAGATTCTGAGAATGAGCTAGACCTGATTGATGAGGGCGGCAGAACGAGAGACCAACTCAATATCGTTTCCATCCAATACCAACTCATCCTTAACCTTGTCAGATCGTATAATTGAAACTCCCTCAAGCATATCCACTTTCCTCACCTACAAAAGGGTGACCGATACAACATTAAATTCAGTAAGTTTATCCAACAGTAAACAAGCAGAAGCTACACCACGATTCCACACACAGGGAAAATTACGATGATGAACAGTGAAGAGCGTAAAGCACTGAGCTAAGATTCTTAACGAATTAGATCAAGCAAATGAGCTAATAGCGTGTATGAAAATCCAATGATATAATAAAAAGTGACGAACAACAACGAGGAACAATCTAAAACCAAGAACGGATTTGAAGTGTCCAAGTAATCAAGCTTAGAATGCAGACGCGAAGAAACAAATTAATCGATCCTCTTGACCATATTACATTGTCCACGCTAAAATCCCACTCTCTGACCGATACTTAAATATCCAAAAACATTAGCGATTGCATACTTAATTCGTCGTCTAACTAAGCTTTGAATAACATCTATCAAACTACCGAGGGTGCAAAACAGGGCGCAAGTGAAGACTACCTTTTTCTCACCAAGGAAGTTTCGGATCTCAATGGCCTTGTTGTTGTTGGTAATGCTGGCATTGATAGGAAAATGCGCATAGACAAACCTCATCTTATAGCGGTAACCCCTTGTAACGCCAGTGATGAGATTTCCTACATGACTGAGGGCCGTGCGAATGGCAGCAGAGGTTTTCCTGGATCCAAACCAGGCATCGACCTTAAGCTTTTTCTTCCCCTCCTCGTCGGTGACGAGTTGAAAATCGAGATTCAAGTGCTTAAAATCACGGACAAGCTTGCCGCGAGGTCCCTCTACCTCAATGATCTTAGCTTTGACTTTGACAGACACCCCATCGGGAATGTCCATCGTTTCACTGGAGAGAATGGTCTTCATGTTCGGCGCTCTTGGTTTCCGGCCCTCTCCCTCTGCTCTCGGTGCGCGAACAAAAACCCTAACGCTGAATATATCATATAAATTGCATTAGGGTTATTGGGTGAGGGCCGCAGTATTGGGCTCGCAAAAGCTTTACAACATCGGCCCGCTGAATTTTGAGGTTCGGTCTGAATTAATATAATTTTTTTTTAACCAGGATTAATATAAATATAATATTAGTTCTAGTATTTAATATAAGAGTTTGTTTGATTTTTATTTTAATCTTAAATATAATATCCTAATTCACTTTGTCTCTCATAATTATCTACTTTTTTAAGGTAGTCCTTATAATAATGATAATTTTAACCAATACACTTGATTAGTAAGGATATTTTAGGAAAGATAACACTTATTTATTACAAATAACTAATTGGACAAGCTTTCTTAATTTACTCAAATTAGTCAAATAGCTCTTATATTAAGGACCGGGGTAGTATAAATATATTATATAATTATTATAATATTCTCACCAAAAAGATACTGCCTCTGGTCTTTAATATAAGACCTTATTTGACTTTCATTTTGATCCTAAATATAAGACATTGATATACTTTATCTCTCATATTTATGTATTTTTTCTCAAAGTAATCATTCTAACAATAGTAATTCTAATTAATATACTTGATTAGTAATAATATTTTAGGAAAGACAACACTTATTTATTATAAATAACTATATTAATATTTTTAATCTCCTCAAATTAATCAATTAGCTATTATAATTATTAACGAGAAAGTGTGTGTATATCTCATCATGTGGGGGGGGGGGGGAACGAGGCTATGTGAGACTTCAGAATCATTTCCCAGTTGCGCCTCTCGCATCCGTGACCATCAGTCAGAAAAATCCAGTTTGACAAAACTAACCTCGTGACACCAAAAAAATCCTATGACTAAATAACCTTTGATATATGCAAAATGATTAGTAGGGAGCGAAAAAAAAATTATAATAAAATTCTAAGAAAAAATAATTATTAAAAATATCTTAATAAAAACCTAAACAGTCGACAGTGACAAGTTTCAAAATAGAAAATGATAACTTCTAAAACTCTTTTTATAATTATTTTTCTTTTTAAGACCTCATTATAATTCTCTTATAGAATAGTTAGAAATAACAGAATAATTGTTTTGATTAAAATTAATATTATAAGAAACGTGCATTCATTTTTACCTAAAATCAACATTAATTTTTTAACAATTATGATCAGGTTATTGCACTTTTTGAAAATTTAATTTAAAATTGATACTGATAAAAAAATTATTTGAAACCTGTATTAGTCTTCATATTTTAATGGTGATTCCGGTTATATTTTAAATAAAAATAACTTTAATAGTGGGGTAATTATAAACCACGCTAATAAAATCATCCGAGTAAGCAATTGTGATCCGAACTCCATATTTCTTGTCTACACTGCATTTGGATGCTTATTTTTAAAAGAAATTTATTACGTGGTATCATGAAAGAAATGTAATTATCAAGAAAATCATGTAATAAGTGAATAACAAGTTTTTACACAGAAAATAACAACAAAATTTATGTTGCTGGCTTGTCATTGGAATTTTTTTGTTGATAATTATATCATTTGTTTTAAAATTTTACTGTGCAGGACTTGGGTGCATGGGAGAGGGAAAAGGGGTTTTTTTTGGGGGCAAATTGTACAGTGGCCTTACAGTGGATGAGATTTATAAAAAAAAGTTTCTAATTTGAAGTCTTGGAGGGACTTGTCTATAATAATAAAAACGTGAAAAGAACCTTATTGCCCTTAATAATAATAAAAAATGCTAAAAAGAGAGTTGTTACTAGAGGCCGTGATAATTATCAGTATTACTGTTTAACTTGTCAATTTATCTGATAATATATATTTGAAAAAAAAAATGTTATTTCAAGTGACAAGTAATATTAACATATTATATGGACTATAAGTGATAACTGACTTATCATATGAACTATAAGTGACAATTGACTTTTAATAACAATACTCTACCATGTCGTCATCAAAAGATACTAACTTATAGGATATGTTAATATTACTTGTCATTATGTAATCCCAAATCTCATTTTTCTAAACTTATATCAACAAATAAATTGATAAGTGAATGAGCAATATTAACAATCATCACGGTCTATATTGACAACTCTATTTTTAGCATTTTTTTATTATCAAGGGTAATGAGGTCTTTTTCATTTTAGTCCTTTTAGATTTTTAGAAATTTTTTTACAGTATTTTGTCTGTTATAAAATCTCAATGCAACCCCCCCCCCCCGCTCCATTTTTCCTCCCCCGGGAGGAGGGAATGCAGGCCCGGCTCAAACATCTCACAAACTTCACAAGGGCATGACGTGGGCCGCGACTGGCCTAAAAAACGACATGGTCCACGGGCCATATCATTCCGATCACTGAACAATAAAATAGGACCTCTGCAACCAAAAAAAATAGGACCTCCTCCACGAACCGGTTCCCTTCTTCTAGTTAGTTCTCCACAGTAGACAATGATAATTTTGAATTTTAATAAAAGGCCGCGTGTTTGATTTATTCGTATTTCTTGCATAAAAAAGAAAAAATGGAATGCGATTATTGAGAGAAGTTGACAAGATTAGAAGGTGAGGCCTTGTTGTCCTCAACTCCCAAAAACCCTGTTCCCATTGACCAACTTGAATTTGGCATAGGAATCAAATATGTTCATGCGAGGGAGGAATAAAATATCAGATCGAGAACACAAAATGCATATATACAACCGTCTCTTCAAAGTTCAAAACCTTGCTCACATGCGTGCGTGACAGAACATTATAATCTACAAAATCTATTAAACAGACTGAGTCATGCTCACATGTCATACGAGTGATCATATTTGGGATCTAAATACGTTTCATTGCATTTCACGAGCACATAAAATGTATTTTATTTTATTAAAAAGGCTTTAAAGACAGGCTTTTGAATGATATCATGACATGTTTGATATTTTTAGCCAGGGAGGGCACTTATATTTGAAAGTGAATGAAGTGATTGGGACACGTAAAGCAGTGACAAAGAACCCTTCGATGAGAAGCACGAACACGAACAGTGTCGGCTATTAAAAAAGAAGAGGAAACAAAATGTGATTAATGCGTCCTTGTTTGGAGTGAGTGGATGTAGGGGCAACGCTGGTCAAAAAAAAAAACAGTGAATGTGGGGGCAATGAAGCAGACTGAGAGGACAAGCCGAAAAGGGCACCGTCCTTTTGCCAGCCCAAGGCCTGTTTGGATGACAAGGGAAACCATGGTTTGGAAGGTTAAACCATGGTTTGCACCTAAAATCATCCAAACAGACAGTGCTTTAGACGAAACCTTGGTCCAGGTTGAAACCATGGTTTCCACCGGTGAAACCATGGTTTCATAAGAAGCAACAATTTTTCGTTTCTGGCAGAAATAATTGAAGGCATAAAGTATTGACCCAAAATACCCTTCTTGGCCAACACTTTTGACTGGTTCTCTTCACTTTGCTCGTGCATTTCAGTCACTCAGCTCGCGTCTCTCTGCTCACTGCTTCGCTCTTGTCGTTGGTGCGAGGAATTTCGTCGTCGCTCTTCACATCTCGCCGTCACTCTATAAAGACTTTTGGTTCTGGCACTTCGTTCCGTGATGGAGATGCAAACCAGGGCTTAGCATTTAATAGGCTGGGACGAAGAAAGGAGGACGACAGGGCAAAAGCATGTGTGGGTTATTACTCACTTTTATCACCAAAGAAATAAAAAGAGGATTTGAAAAGAGAAACGAATGGGCATGCAGCCACCTTTACATTCCTTTTGCTGGTAAAAGGACAAATTACCCATGCTCCTGCAATAGTTAACCACCGGGATTCACCTTTATATTAATTATTTATTAATTATATTATCTTATAAATTATTAATTATGTGAGTAAAAATTATTTCATTAACAATTTTATTTCTTCAAATCAAAATATATTATAAAAATATCCCTTATATAATTATTATATGAATTTATACCCTTTTTGGTAATTTCTATATATAAAAAGTATTTCTGGTAATAACTATCCAAACACTCTCACTTCTCAGAATCACTTTTTCACAAAATCTATTCTTCATAAAATTTATTTTTTCCAGAATATATTTTCTAGAAGCTATTCTCCAAACCATGGTTTGGTTTCATCCAAACACACCCTGAATCGTCTACAGATCAGATATTTTCTTCACATTATCCTGCTTGGATCAAAAATACGTCAGGTGTCCAGAACAGTTGGAAAAAAAAAATGAAGTGTCGATTTCATAAAAATAACAAAATGCTTGTTTGAAATAGTAATATAAAGAGTGTTTAAATAAAAATCAAATCATAATTTTAGAAGTAATTTTACAATATATAAAATAAATATATAAGAGAATTTGTCTTGATTTACATAAAAGTGCTTTTAAAAAATATTTATGGAGGAATCCAAACACCCCTGTAATCCTTCAAAAACGACTTTTTAACGGAACACGAACCCAAACATGTGAGAAAAAAATGCACCTGCTGTAAATAAATTCAAAGATTATACAATCCCACATCACGGCAAACACACTAAACGTCTTTTGGCCAGTCCAGTCAACACTGTTTTGATCTTCAGAATTGGTTAGATTTTTATTTCACATATATCCTATTCGGACCAAAAATAAATTAATTGGGCTTCGAGGATTGTTAAGAAAACAATAAAAGAAAAAGGGGACACAAGTCGAACATGGTTTGATGGCACAAGAGTGCGAAGATGATGGATGGACTAATACTGAGTTTGTTTGGAATGACTTAAAATTGACATTTCAATTGTAACTGGCAAAATACAATGGAAAGAAAGTTTTATTTTAACTGAGTATTTATGCATCATCAATATTGAGGATCGTGCAACATGATGAGCCCATGGGGTCGCCTGTAAATGAAAGGTGTCAGAAGGAGAGATGCTGAACAATCATCATTCACAAACTCGCCGATCACAACCTATTGAAAAAGAAGTTTGGCAAGTATTGAAAAGGCACTGGGGAATTAGTTCACCATTGTTGGGGTTGGGAGAGGAATCAAATGCGTTCATGTGGGGGTTGCTGGAATGGAATATGTTTGATGTAAGAAGATAATACCCACCACGAACAACGCAGGATCATATGCCCTTGATGATGCCAAAGTCTATGGTCTGGAGACCTTCCCTGAGAATATCACATATGCCCTTTTGGATTTCAAAATCCTCCCTCACAAACTCATTACTTATTCCCATTAAATTAACTGTGGACGGCAAATAATTAATGTTCAGTTTTAATCAGGTTTCTAATGTCACCCTATCTACTGCTAGAGATCTTCTTAGGTGTTTAATGTAGGATCGTCTGTAAGTTGTGTAATTTTTAAATTCTAAAATGTCATATGCAAAATTAAGAGAATTTTTATATATTTTAATCTAAATTCTTTCAATTCACATCATAGAAACTTTTCATTAATAATTTAACAGTAAAAATAACGGTTCTATTTAATTCTAACATTTTTTTAAGACTATTAATTTTAAATTTTAAAATATTGAAAATTATGTGCGCCTCCGTGAAAAATAAAGTATATTTTGTACTGTGTTTCAGTCAAATTCAGATGCCCAGAAATATATTTTTTTAAAAGGAGAAGGTTAAAATATTAGTGTCGGGCCCATGATGGCAACCCCAGGCCAGATTGCGATTCCATTCTTTTCCAACTTGCGGCCTCGCCATATCTGTGGGTCGATTGCCTCTCATCTCCACGTCCAATGCCCTTCCTTTCTTCTTCTTTTGAATTGATCATTTTCAAATGCAGATTCCTTTCTTCCCACTCATTTTGGTCTTTCGTTCGCTGATGTCCAGGTCACGGTTCTTTCCTCTCACAAGCAGCCTCCTGAAATAAATAATTTCCTAATTGTGAACAACTTTTCTGCCCCGAATCCAAGCTATTAACAACTAACGACTTGATCAAACACGCATCAACTGTCTATGCCTAACCGAAACTCGTTTATAGTACTGCTTCCTAACTGCCTAATGAAAATAAAAATACTTCCATAAACAGAGGAGTCGTCAACTTGCTTAGCGCGAATTCTTATTGCGTGTTTGTGTGTGTGTGCATATATGTTCGGTACAATGGCGTATATTTTGGGCACATATATAATGTGTCCACGACGCTAAACTACATTGGGAAGATATTTATAGGGCAACGAAGGCATGGAAACAACGAGCAAGCAGACAACATGAAAGGACAAAAGTTAGTTACGACGGGTTTTTAAGGTCTCTCTGGATTTAGAATCAGGCCGAGGAGGTGGTAACGATAGTGGCCTTCCTGGTTTTACTGCTTTCAATGTATCTCTTCATGCATCGCCGTTCTTACCGGTTGCTTCATTTAATTATTTATCCAGTGTCGCAGTGCGCATATCGTAGCTGGAGAGATTCCTCGAATCCTGGCTATTTTCGAATCCCGGCTATTTGCTTTCCCTTCGTCTCAACCAGTACCTACCTTCAAAAATAACCGTCCTTTTCCAGACACTAAAGAGATAAGGAATAGGTTTTTTATAGGTACTCTTTTGTTTTTTTCCTTCGCTTTTTCTCTCTCTTGTGTTCGTCGGTATGTGAGGAATTGGGCGGATATATAGAAGCATTATTGGCGAGTCTGGACGCATGATAAGGCAGGAAAGGAGTAGTAAGAAGAAGATGGGAAAGATTTCAAGGATTGGCAGTTATGCGATTGCTTCTTCGATGAAGGAAAACCAACGACAACCTTGTATTACCTGCACAACCTTTAACATTCTCGCTCCCATATACAAGCGCCTCAGCCATGAGGTTCTTTTCCTTCTCCGACTACGTTGACGAATCCTTCAGAAGGGTCATCAAAATTTTAATGATTTTTTTTTCTGGTTTTCTTTCTTGTTTGGTGGCGAAAACAGGACCAGAGTTGCCGCGAGAGCGACAACAGAGAGGACTGGTTGACCAGGAACCACAGAATATTGGATTGGCTGCTGTGCGAGAGATCTTCCATTATATGTCTTCAGGTTTGCAAGTTCTTCATCGTTTGTGCTGAATCTCGTTGAATTCTTCATTGGGTTTATGGTAATGTGTTTGATTATGCTGGACTGGCGCAGGAGTTTTGGGTTGGAAACCAGGAGCTTGTGAATTTGTACGAGAAGAGACTCGGTGATGCTGGTTATGTTAATTTCAAGCTTGGACGGACTAATAACCGCGGTGATGGTTAGCATTATGTCCCTTAATTTCAAAGTACCTTTGGATGTTCAGTTTTTAGTGTTTTTTTTTTTAAACGATAATCTTTATCCTGGATTCCTCTCTGTAAACAAGCATGACTCGATTGACAATATAACATTTAAAATTTCCATTATTTATCACAACAGCATATCAGTGACTCTTCTCCCAGGGGATATTGATGTACCAATCCAGTCTCTGCGTGTAAATGTTCCTTAAATCTTTTTTTTTCTTTAATACAGTTGTTCCATAAGATTTTCAATCTGCTGTCTGTCCGCGAAGGGTATACACATCATTGAAGTCGTTTAGATTAAGTAATCCATGAGAATGAAACTCTATTAGATTACTAAACACGGGACAGGCTTTCATGATGTTATTTGCCATATGCATAATGGATTTTTGATTCCCGGCCGTCTACTTGAAGTAGTTCATTGTAAGGGGTTTATTTGATGTTTCCTTTGGAATCTGCAGGTCTTTTGATGTCAATTCAAAAAGAATACTTCACTGTTATTAATTACAAGGAGTTGCTTTTCAATGATTGTGGTGATCGTGTAGCGCAGTTGTTACATGTGAAATTAGCTCTTCCAATTTCACAGTGTAGTAACAATGATGTTGGGCAGGAAATTCTTATTGTGAACACACACTTGCTATTTCCTCATGATTCGAGTCTCTGCCTAGTTCGACTGCGTCAGGTATATCAGCAGCACGCTTTTTAATAAGTTGGTGTGGCAACTCAATAGGAGAAAGAAACATGAAATTAAATCTTACTTTTATGAAGGTCTACAAGATACTCCAATCTGTGGAATCTTATCAGAGAGAGCACCAACTTAAGCCCATGCCAATCATTCTGTGCGGGTAAATTTCCAAGTGTAGTTCTCCTTCTTCCATTCCTTGCCCGATATTTTGTTTAATTTTTGTCTATCTTTTCCCCACTTTTTTTGGGGAAACACTTGAATCATTGTTCGTATTTTATGTTCACCTTTTGATTTCTCAGTGACTGGAATGGAAGTAAACGTGGGCATGTTTACAAGTTCCTGAGATCACAAGGCTTCGTATCGTCATATGATACTGCACATCAATACACTGATGCAGATGCCCACAAGGTGTGCTCCCTAAATTGCTCTCAGAATTGTTGTGTTGGAAAATATATGCTTCTCCACTTATATATGGTTAAAAATGTCTTGTTAAAGCAGTGGGTTAGCCACCGAAATCACCGAGGCAATATATGTGCTGTTGATTTTATATGGCTTCTAAATCCTGATAAATACCGCAAACTTTTGAAAGCAAGTTGGAGCGAAGCAGTATTTGGCATGTTGAAGGTAATCATAAAGCCTTCAGACCTGCTCTCAGTTTCTTAAATCATTTTTTTTTCACCATCTTTGCGAGCACCTTTAACATGTATATCTTTAGACAAGGGTCTGTCGTATTGATACGGCATTATCTACTTTTTGAGAAACCTTTGCTCACAACATCGACTTATGCTAATGAGACCATTGTTACCTTTAAACTCCTTTCATCATGAAATGGAAGTTCCAGGGAATCAACATGAATGGGGGTAAAATGTCATATCATCTAGTCCTGAACTAGGTCCATATTATCAATTTTAGTGATTGTAGGACACTGTTCTGTGGCTGATTACAAATGTATATTTTCAGTATCTGTTGGTGAAGACCGCTCTGACAGAGACAGGGGCGTTTTCCTTTCTAAAGGGTGATAAAGAAGATATCATCACCTATTCTAGTTTTTGTGAAGCACTTCGGCAGGTATGATATAGTATGAAGTAAAAGACGATTCTTCTTAAATTCAAGATAATGTGTACGTGTTTGAGAAAGAGAGACCTGTGGGTAAGCCCTCATGTGGATAAAAGTTTTCTTCATTCTCTACAGCTTAATTTATTTGGTCATAGCCATGGGCTGAGCGACGAAGAGACAAAGGACTTGTGGTCCCAAGCAGATATAGATGGGAATGGTGTTCTGGACTATGAAGAATTTCTGGTAAGGCAGTTGCCTGGAAATTGACCCTAAGCATAAATAAGTTGGAGTCCATTTCTGTATAACCATTATCTGAATTCTGGGTTAAACTCAAATCAGTGTCATTGTTGCGTGTTTACACTAGGTATGTGTTGTTTGAGTTCTATCATATGTGAAACCACTGTTTCAATTCTTCAGAACTAGGTGTAAGTGGTTGAAAATGTCAGGGGTACATGAACAATTTAATCTGCATGGTCATGATAGCCTTTTTCCCCTGTGCTTATAGCAATTTTTTTTTTTATTGGTATCATTTAGTTTTTAATCTGAAACTTTGTTTGAGAAGTCATGGCCACAATGTTATGGGGTCTGTAGGAGCAACTCTGGAAGGCGGGGTCAGACGAGGGAAACGAATACAGGAATGAAGAGCACAAGGAAGTTTCCGGCAGCCAAAGGGAACAAAGCATCGGTTTCAGTGTAAAAAATGCAGTTCTATTCCCTCCTGAGGTAGAGAAAGGTAGATGGCCAGAAGACTACTCCCTTTCGGACCATGCTCGGCTCACTGTTGTTTTCTCTCCTATAAGAATGCCGTGTTCACAGATGACATCCTGACGAATGCCAGCTAGAGTCAATCCGGATTTAGTTCAAGACATTTGGCATTGGGAATAGGACAATATAACCTTACAAGTGACTAGGTGAAGAAACGGAAGGAGCATAGTAGCCATAGCACACTCTTCATAACGTGACAGCACCAGGAAACTGAAGAATGAAATTTGAAGCTATAATCATCGTCGAATACTCACCAGACTTTGAAGATGACAAAATGACGATTGAAGTGGCCAGATTCATCAGCCATCACCCAGATTGTTCCCCACTTCATCGCTTTTTCACACACTCACATTTCACCGATTGAAAGAATAGAAAAAAAACAAAGAGTGATTTGTACAGTCGTTGCATAGGTCTTAAGCGTCGACTAGTTCGTAGCTTTGATTAGAGATCTCATTTAGGCAACTTGCAACAGATTTTGATATGAAATGATCAAATAGAACGAAGCACAATGTGCTTCTTCATAGCTTCTCTTTGATACCCAAACAATGAACTCGAACATTCCGCTAGGCCGTTTTCTCAACCCTTGATTGTGTGTTGCAGACTTACGGTGCGCTTTCTTGTTTGATCCAATTGAAACTTCCAGGGGGCCGGGAGCCTATGGCTATCAGCAGCACCCAACAAATGAATTGAACCCAGAAATGCTCCTTCCGCTATCAAATTGCAATTGTTTTCGTGCGATTATCATGCCATTACTTGCAGCCTTATATAAAACAAAATGCGCCTTTTCTATGCATTTGCACCAAGTTAATTATTCATGGGCATGAATATTACAGCTCGTTAAAAATGGTACAATCTAATGTTAATCATCTAAGGCAATAAAAGCAGGATATTCGCATCAAGCTTACTTCCTAGCGCCAGTATGGTTGACATTTACTAAACCATAATGCAATATTTTTCGCATTAATTTTTAGCAAATAATATCGATGCAATATTTAAAGGGCCAGTATATTGAGTTTTGCTTTGTGTAATTAAGATGACGAAGATGATAGCCAAATAATAATAATAATAATAAGAGGACGAAGATATATTAAAGTGAGTTGAAATTAGCCGAACGAGTTAGTTTCTCTGTTGGATTTAATAGAAGTTAGTCTCAAATTCCCATTAAAAATAAAATATCCACATTTAATGTCTGACAGTACCTCGAATAAAATTACCGGAAGATATATGTACCTACCAGAAAAAAGATTAAAAAATGCCCTGTACTTTTGGAACATATAACATGCATTCATATTTAAGGGGAAAAAAAATACTCTTCCGGTCCTTCATATAGGGCCAAATTATTGAGTTAGTTTTTATCCTAAATATAAAATCCATTTTTCATATTTATCAATTTTTTTTCAATTACTCCTATAGATACTTTCTCAAACATAATCAAGTAGAAGATAAAGAAAAGGTATTAAGAAAAATGATTATGGTGTTTTAAGAAAAATGTGTCACATTTTTTATAATTAATTAACTTACCTAACTTTTTTAATCTAATCAAATTAGTTAAATATACCTTATATTAAAAAACAGAGGATTATTTCGGAACACATGCTTGTTTGGTTAAAAAAATACTCTTTTTTTTTCAAACGTCAATTTACCAAAAGGTCCGGTAGTTTGAAGGTACCCCTCTTGACCCAAAAAAAAAAAAAAAAAAGTTTTAAGGTGCCTCTCCAGTCGCTGGTCTTATTTCAGAGTTCTCTCTACGTTCTATCGCTTAAGGCGGGACTGGATTTTGTATCCTTGAATTGAATTTAGAATTATACCAAGAAATACAGCGTCTCTGTATATAATAAAGGGTATGAACATATAGGAAGAGGAAACAAGAAGCATTGAAGAACCAGATCGAATACCGCACCGCGTAGATGACAAGCATAAGAATTACGATTCAACAATCAAATTGCTTCTGAGGTAGAAATTCCCCTTTACAGAAAGATCCTCCCTGGGAAGCACAAAAATCTTACCAGGTCGGGCAGAAATCTGGTTACTCTATCCATCATCATCATCACTGTCATCATAATCAGAAGCTGACTCGTCGCTCCTTGGCTCCATCAGTGAATTCATGTCAAATGATGGTCCCATTTCCATTTCCTCCATGTCAATAGTGTCATAATCCATTCGTTGCTCAAACTTGTCATCCGAGCAATTAAGCATCCATGCAAGGGAACACTTCACTCCCTTCTTGGCAACCATCTTATGCCTGGGTTTCACAGTTGACTCCAGACCATACGTAAAGAAGGCTGGGAAAGCAACCAAGTCTTCTAAAGGCCTCCCCATCTCCTTTTGAAAGTAACCAAAGCTAAGTTGCATGATGTCAATGTTTAAGGCAAGAAGTTGAGGGCATCCAACAATCATCGTCTTCATTTGTTGCAAGGAAAACCCACAATCCTTAAGAAAATTAACATGCTTTAACATAGGCGCACTACTGAGGCTAATTACCTGTGGCATCTTCTCAACAACTCTACCAAAATCTTCAGAATCCAAATCAAGCATAGATTTAAGTAAATTACTTTGATTCTCAAGCTTTGGCTTCAAGTCCATTCCCAATATATCAGGGTACTGCGCAATGACAGAGGGTAGATATGCTCTTCTAATATCGAACTCTTCAAGAGCTTCAATGTTTGGCTTCACCTTCTCGTCCAATCCAAAGCCAAGAATATAAGGTCGCTTCTCTATTATTCTTGCAATTGCTAATCTTGGAATCCCCAAGCTTTCCAGATATTCCACAAAAGGCTTGATTACTTTACCAACTCTCATTCCCAAAATCTCAGGGTATCTTGTTAGAACCCCTCCAACTTCTCTTCTTCCAACACCAATGCCAACCAAATAAGCAACTGATGTGCTCATGGTTCCCTCAAGCTTAAATCCTAGCACTTCTGGATACGTCTCAAGAACCCGGGGAATATCATTGGGCTTGATATCCATCCCCTGAAGATACTTGACCACTGGCTCGAGGTCAACAACAACACTAGCATGAAGAACTTGTGGGTATCTCCGCAAGAACTGCGTGAATGTAGATTTCCTGACTCCCAATTTACCAAGGTAATCAAGGACGGGAATCATATTCTTTTTGACACTGCAGCCAAGAACTAACGGATAATTGTTGATGTCTTCAATTGTAAGCCCTAAATTGTGAAGAAAATCTACTCGTTCCCTCATAACTTCGACTGTCACTGGAAGTTCCAGGCCATCAAGCTCATCAGGAACAATACCAATCCCCCGCAAGAATGCATAAACCTTTTCACGGTTTGCCATCCTCTCTTTGTTCATGTCTGATAAACTAGGACGACTATACAATGAAGATGAACGCCCTTGCTTCCTGTTCAAGCGGGGGGAGTCTGGTTTGGATGTGGGTGAAGCTACAGAGCTAGAAGTCAACGTTCTATTAGCAACAGAACACTTAAGTTGCGTAATCAAACCCATTCTTCTCATGCAGTTACAAGGTAGCTGTAGAGTTAACGAAGGAATCGACTTAGAATGACAAAACGTTAAAATGGGCATTTTTGTCTGTGCCAGTAGGGAACTCGGTTTAGTTATGCCAGCAGCAAAGCTTCTTGTCTTCATGTTTTACAAGATAAATGTCATTGAATCTGCAAAAACAAGTAGGTGTAACCCCAAGTAAAGGCATGATTCTGTGCACAGTTAAAATTAGCAGAAAAATAATATGCATCGCATATGCTGCAGGGAAATGAATGCCGAGTCAAAACAAGAAACACGCAATTCGACTTCATGTGGAATTTCTTTTCTGATGATAGTTAAATCCAATTTGGACCCCAGCCACCAAAGTGTTGAGAAAGCGGCAGTGAGGATGCATTGCAACACGAGTTTCTGACCACAGGAAGTGAGTTATTACCTTGCGAAGGTAGGTGCGCGCGATGGGAGTTAGCATACAATCCACAAAATTTGAAGAAAATGAAGTCGGTGTGAAATCAATGCAGATTCATCCCTCTGGATTGGGATTGAATCGCCGGGCTCCTCTACAATGGGAACATGTAGGAGCAGTTTAAGAAAGTGGGGATAGAGTGGGGAAAGCGGGAGGGAGATAGACTTACAGTAAAAGAAGCTGGCGCCAGAAAGATGAGATAGGTGAATTGTGTTACGCGCCTTTTCCTTGCGAGAACTCTATACCGCCCAGCGTTAACGGTACCGCCAGAATCGAGGGTTTCCGGCCCTCTCAAGCTCCTCCCGACAGAGACGCAGCGGATAGAACATCAGGTGTGAACAAATCACGCATGTGAGCCCACCCTTGGTATGAGCTGCTGGAGAGAATAGCATCTATAAGCTGGACTGGAGCAAGTTAAACAAGGGTCAGGAGTCTACTAGAAGGTTGGCCACCAAAAGGGGGTTTATTACAAGAGCCGAAGTGGTGGCCTGCACATGTTGGGCTTTTGGGCTTAATTTAATACGTAAAGAAGTGGGCTCGATGAGAGGTGGGCTCGTGGCTGGGCAATTTGTTATCCGTTTTTTTTTGAAAAAAACCAATAAATTAACCATTATTGGTGCTCCAATAGCAAAGAATAAAAAACCGGATCAGACATTAAACTGATCAACACAGTGAGTTAAGAGTTACTGGTTAAATCGAGATCGAACCGGGATCAAACCGGTAATATTAAAATAAGATAATTTAATTCACAATATTAAAATAAAACAAAATTTGTAAATAATAATCACTGAAAAAAAAGATGAGAAGCTACAAAAGTTGGTTTAATGTTTAATAGTAACAACCTCTGACTTTGGATTCAGCTTCTGCAAACTGCCGAACTGCAAATGCAGAGTGGTGAAGGCCAAGTAGGACATGGTCACGTTGAGGGAGACTTGCAAGCTTAAACCGTCATACTTTGTGATGCGATTGCGAGGTGAAAAGCTGTGATTTTTCGGTTTTAGATCTGCTGTAGACTACGAGGATGTTGAGGGAGATAAAACTTGCGATGACTGTGATTTTGGAGCTCTGCCGAACAATGACCTCTACCGGAGACTTTAGTGCTGTCGGCGACACTAGGGAGCAGGGATTGATTTTGGTTTGAGGGATAGAGTAGAGCTACGTGAGCTGCTAGAGGAATTGGGTTCAGCCTTCAGGGGAGGGAGAATGGCCAAATGGGAGACTTCGCGACCGGGAAAGAAAGGAAGAAGGGATTTTTTTTTAATGAACAAAACAACGGCGTTTTGGGGGTTCTGACAAGCAAAAGAAAAAAAAAAAGAATTAGTAACCGGCCAATTGGGAAATACCCGGTTCTATACCGGTTACAACCAGTTGGATCGGTTTTTTCTCGGTCAAACCGGCCGGTCCGCTTCGGTTTTTTTTCCTTATCTAATAGAGAAGACGAGATGGGTGCTAGGAAATTCTAGCATGGACGGGTGTTAACATTTTGATTTTTTTTTTTATTGGCGATCTTGTATTGGTGCTGGTGATTTTTTTAACAGGATTTTCTTGAGGATGTCTATGCACAGTTTTAAAAAAAAAAAAACTTAAAACTTTACGATGATATCTATGTCCAACTTAATATTTTTTTGGGGGGTATATATGTAAATGAAGTTTATAGAGGAGTGAATCAATAGCATTATGGATAAATTAACTGCAAATGTTATTTGCACAAACGTAATTTCATTTACACAGAAGATACTAAATAGTGAATAGTTTAAAATTAAGAGAAGTTGTGTGTGTGTGTATTTTAAAATCAAGATCCATTCTTTAAATGTAAGATCATGGACAGTTTAAACCTACTTGCATCCAAGAACGCAAAACAAACTGATATTTATAACTGAAGATATTATATATATTATTTCTAGTCCTAATTATTAAACCTTATTAGTAGTCTATAAATAGTATCTTATAATTAGGACCGGAAGTAGTATAATTTATTTTTAATAACATTTTTTTTTTGCTTGTTGGTTAAAAAAGAGCCCCGCCAGAAATTTGGAGAAAAAGACTTATCCTTTTATAAAATTTCACTTAGCTGGAAAAGAAAGAGACTCGTTTCATTCGTATGATGGAGAGAACTCATTCGCAAACACATATTCGTCTGCGAAAGGGAAAAAATTAAATTAAGCATTCATGGGAATGTCAGCAAAAGAATCACGAGAATGTCGACGAGTTATTACCCAATCATAATCCGATCACGCATATGTATTCTGGATTTTTTCCCTTTTAATATGGAATCCCATTGTGGTTCATAAGCAGAAAGGAAAAGAAAAGCTCGGAAAAAGCTGGATTTGTCAAAATCCACAGCACACCAAACAGTGGGAATCATTTTCTGGGTTCGGTCGTTTTCTATTATTGTTAGGCAGAAAAGGAAAAAAGAACAAAGATTTAGAGAAAAATTAGCTTGTTTTGGTCCGTATATGCTTGTCCTGTAATCTTCAATTTTCAAAGCGACATATTTTATTTCTAATTTTTTTTTCCCGAAGGAATCAGAGACCAGAATGAAACTAAAAAACTAAATCCAGGAAGGATGCCAAGCACCGTGGTATGTACTGCTTTCTGTATTTAATACTACCTCCGGTCCTTGATATAAGACCCCATTTGATTTTTATTTTGGTCCTAAATATAAGACTCCAATCCACTTTGTCTATCATATTCATACATTTTTTCCAAAATAGCCCTTCTAACAATGATAGTTCTAGTCAATACATTTGATTAGCAAGGATATTTTAGTGAAAATAACACCTATTTATGACAAATAACTAACTCAACTTACTTCCTTAATCTTCTTAAATTAGTCACTGGCTCTTATAATTAGGACCGGAGGTAGTATGAGACTTCGTTAATTAATCCGGAGAAGTTAAAAAAATTAATTAAATTAGTTATTTATAATAAATAAATGTTCTCATTCTTAGAATACCGTTTCTAATCATGTATTAGTAAAATTATATATGTGACTACTACAAAAATTACTTTTAAAAAACTAAATAAATATGAAAGATAAAATGAACTGTGATATTATATTTAAGATCAAATCAAATGTCAAATTAGTTTTTTCATAAAGTAACAAATCTACTACTTAACATTATTTCCCATGCCATTTTAATTGAACCTCAGGATACTATATGTGGTTCTTAATTCCCTAGTTATCGTGATACTGTGGAGATTCTTTTCCTTTTGCTGTGAAATAAATTTGAGATAAAAATAACAAAACTTACCAATGCAAATTGTATCGAAAACGACCGCACTCTGGTGGTCAATTTGCCGACCATTGAAATGAATTTGATACATAAAAAGAAAATAAAGGCATGCAAAGCGAGAAAAAGGTATTTTTACTGCATTTTGTACATGGTAAAAATATTTTTAAAAAATCTCCGAGAACGGTTGAATGTTTATGAAAGTAATTTTTTTCAAAAAAAAATCTGGTTCCCATTCCAAATTAAATTGGTCGTGAAGTATTTTGATGTAATTAATTAAAAAAAACAGTGATTATGTCAATAAAAAAATTAAAACCCACTTCTAGATCAACTGCACATCAATCCCTTTCGTTCATTATCCCCCTCCCCCAGTCACCACCGAGTCACTCACCACCATTTGCGATGGGCCATGGCTTTTTCTTGCATGATCTGACGGGAAAGATGTACGTTTAATGCCAGATAAGATCTAAATATTCAAATTAACTTTTAAGAGGAAATCTATTTTCTTGTTAACGTTTTAACTATTTAACTTTTAGATTTAAATATATAAAATCAAATTTATAATTAATGTTTTATCATAAAATAATCGACGCATAAAAAATTTCAAAATATCAAAGGAAGTAGAGTATAAAATAATCGAAATCCGTTGTTTTTTAAACCAACGTAAAAACATTTGTTTTTACTTTTTTAAAAAAAATTGTAAAGGATAATGGGGAAGAGGAGGGACGACGACAAGGAGATTGGCACTTCATGGCGCCTTCCCCTTTTCCTATTGGTAATTACCGTTTCGTTTCCTTGCTCACCACGGAAATGAGAAGGCTGGGTCATGCACTGCGTACACGCGGCACTACATGATTGGCTACACACCTCACTCACCCCATGGCGTCTTTCCGGATTGACCTTCCCATTCTACCCCTACACATCTCACTCGTTTCTGGGGCGTGCTGCTTCAGCTTGCAGGACAATATGACACATCAGCAATGTGGCTCCAAATGGAACTGGCAATGTCGTTATTTCGGTGTACGAAGGAGGTCCAAATCGGAATATTCTACGCGGCGTCCCCAAGGATTCCAAACGCGGTTTCCCTCATCCGTTGGATTGTCTGGGGATACTATACTATACCTACCCCTGGCTTTCTCTCTCCTACTTACTTTCTCAGCAAGCTCCTCCCTCTACCTCGCCTGTTTCCCCTGATGCTAGAAAAAGAGAGAAGAGGTCATTACGCCATAAAATCTTCCGAATCTCTTTGATTCTCAAATCTGGGTTCTCTGTATTTCTTTACAATTATTAATTGAGAGCTTCTTCAAACACTCTATCCTTCCTTTATCTCTTTGTTGGGACTCGAAACTGTGTCGTGATACTCTATGGGTGCGGCTGTCGACTGTGGTCCGCCGGGCGCTGATGAGGTGGCGGTTTTGCCTCTGAATTCCCTTCCTCTAGGTTTCAGGTTTCGGCCTACGGATGAGGAGCTGATCGATTACTATTTGCGACAGAAGATCAACGGAAATGGGGGAGAGGTATGGGTTATTCGAGAAATTGATGTTTGCAAATGGGAGCCTTGGGATTTGCCTGGTGAGTTCCTTTGATCTCGATCCGATTCTGCTTCTTTCTAGCCTTGGTAGTATTTTGCTTACTCCAATTTTCGTTGATTAGGGGTTGTCATAAGAATTGGGAAAGTTTTGAAATCTCTATTTTACTAATTTTTCTACAATCTACTTTTTAGCTGTCGACTAGAGCATGCTGGCTGGTTTTTTTATTCTCAAATGATGTCGGTAGATTAAATGATTAATGCTTGGTAAAATTACTGGGAAATTGATCTATCTATAAGAGCTACTTAACAATTTAGCGACATGCGTAAACGGCGGCTAAGTTCTTCGACTAACTCTTTGTCTTCCCTCTCGGTTTGTTCTAGATTTATCGGTGGTACGGAACAAGGATCCAGAGTGGTTCTTCTTCTGTCCGCAGGATCGCAAATATCCAAATGGGAATCGATTGAACCGAGCAACGACTCATGGGTACTGGAAGGCAACGGGCAAAGATCGCAAAATTAAGTCTGGGTCGATCTTGATCGGAATGAAGAAGACTTTAGTGTTCTATATCGGTCGTGCTCCCAGAGGGAAGAGGACCAATTGGGTGATGCATGAGTACCGTCCTACCCTAAAGGAGCTTGATGGTACCAATCCTGGACAGGTTGGGTCTCCTCTCGTTACATTTTTGTCATGATGCATGTGTGGCATTGAAGTGTTGGAACTTGTTAATATTTTCCCCCTTTATGATTTAAGTTCATCCCTTATTCTGGTTTGGTTTGCGAAACATTTTCTGTACCTATCTCAATTGTACAAGTCAGATATGATTCGGTTTAGTTATTAATTCAGCTATAAGATTACCTTTTGTGTTTACTTCGTTGGGGTTTCGTTGCCTTTTTTGATATTCTTGTTCCAAGGTCATATGTTCTGAAGCTCTTTGTAGGCTGAGTTCTACGCATTCTCTGTGAACATTGCATCTACTGCATCCTGGAGATAGCTCTCCTTATGGATATTTGGATTCCGATCGTTCTTGGTTATTTTTCTGTTTCATTTTTCTGGGTTCATTTCTAAGGAAAGGATGTCTGTAACTCTGTATTGTACCCTTTATTTTCTGCCAATAATAACCCTTTACATAAACATTACACGTTACTGCCTATAGGTTAATTTAGTTAGTTACCATCATCCTATTACTGTTTACTAATAACTTTGAATCTATATGAAGAGATTGTGATGTATTGCTGAACTTTTTGTTTGGTCAATGTGAATTGTACCAGAGTGCATATGTCCTTTGTCGTTTATTTAAGAAGCAAGATGAGACACTCGAAGGTTCAAACTGTGAGGGAAATGACTGTACCATGTCAACTCCACCAACTGCTAATTATTCTCCAGAAGAAATACAATCAGTTGTGGTTCAAGCAGCACCTTCTCCGTCGCTAGCTACTGAAGATGATAAGAACAGGGCAGTTCCATTCTATGTCTCTGAAAATTCTGAGGAAGCCACATCCAACATTATAACACCGATTGATTGCAACAGCGAAGAATGTGATACTTGTGATGCACAAAATAAGATTGTCATTCCAACGACTGCGGAGGTGAGATGGGTTGAGGTTCATTCTATTATTTCTTCTTTTCTTTTCTCATGCTTTTTATGGCCTCTGTTTTCACTATTGGAAAACGGGATTGTTGATTTTGCTTCTATACTCTGCGTGCCATTTCAGGAAGATCAGTTTTTCCTTGACATATTTTATGATCCAACAACTGAACCATTGGATGACAAGCTCTTCTCCCCCGTTCATCAGCATATCCCACCTGAGTTTTGTTTTTCTTCAAGCAATGAACTGGATAATGGCTTGCAACTTCAGTATGGTTCAAATGAGGTTAATGTGACTGAGTTTTTAAACTCAGTTGTCAACTGGGATGAGTTATCATATGATTCCAGCAGTCAAAAGCCCCCTTCCACCTTGGTTGATGCTAAGGATAATGGATCAGGCAGTGATTCAGATGTGGAAATGCCAAATATACTGGTTAGCAGCATCCTTCTTTTCTTTGGTGATCTATTTAGGATTATCTGTGCTGCTGAATACTTTTATTTGGTTATACAAGGCCTGCCACCAAGTTGTTATTGTTTTTTTATTTGGTAGCCTCAAATGGTTGGTCTTGTACGTTTTTCTTTTTGACGCTTCATTCCAGCTATCCATAAAATTGATAAACATCATGTTACAATTACCTCGCATGGTGTACTTGTGTCTCCTGTATGATCTTACAGTCTAGTTCTATGCTGCAGAGTCTGCAAGCATTACATTCCATGAATCCTGATGAGGCAATTGACGCAAAGTCATCTTCAAAGTTGGATAAAACTTCAGATTTCCACAGCACCATCAGCTCTGAACTTATTGGTGATCAGAAGAGCCATATGGGATTGTTACAAAACAATTTTTCGATGGCCTCACCTGATGCTGGCGTGGGCCAATTGTCCACCGTTGACCATGGATCCAGGAATTATAATTCAGCTGATAATGATGATATCGGTACTGGCATCAGGATAAGGTCTCGGCAACTACGGAATGACATGCCAAACACAAACCTCAATAGCCAAGGTACCGCACCCAGGAGAATCAGGCTGCAGCGTAAACTTCAAGTGCACCCTCTTAGCTCCAGTGAGGTGATCGAAGGTGGGAGCTGCATAAAAGAGGACCTTGATTCAAAACCAATCATTGCAGGGGTAAGAACTTTATCTTTTATAATCTGCGTCTCTCAGTTGAGATTGTATCTGCATTTGTCGTGAAAGCTGTGAATTCCTCTTCCGCAGGAGACAAAAGCTTCAGAAAATCACGCGCGTGATGTGGATGCTATGCATTCCAATGTTGTAGACGAACCCCAGAAGGCATCTCCTGAGTCAACTGACGATACAAAGACTCCTGAGCAACGTACTGCAGGTGCGGGGTCCTTCTTGAAGGTGAAAGACGTCAAAAGCTTGTGCACAAAGGCACGTTACACATCAAAAGCGCCCGTCAGACTCAAAATTTGGTCATCTGTTGTACTTTTTGTCATTGTACTGGTTCTATTAGTATTCTCAGCTAACGTGTGGGGGCATTCTAGAAGTTGAACCGCTAGGTGATCGTTCATTTGTGTGTAATTAAGCCCTCATTGTTTTTTTATTTTGGAGGGTAGGGCTACTTGAGAGCAAGGAGGGTTTTGTGCGTATGTTGTCCCCGGTACATGAGATACTCACCTAGATAGCTAGTATCTATGCTTTTGTATAGTAGTTTCTCACTCTCACTGCCATATGTTCTTGTTGAAGCTTGGGTCGATAAGCCTGAAGAAGCTTTTAGTGTCACTGCATGTGATGCTTCAGTCTCTTCTGGTTCTTCAGTTTTGTTTGATCTTTCGACTCTACTACCCTCTTCCGACGTTCCAAGGAGCTTGCTTTCTTATGTTTGAACTGAATTTGTGTGCCAAGTCTGAACTTCTAAGTGGTGCACGAGCTCAGTTAATTGAATTAGGGGGTTTGAGATGTGTGTATGCATGTACGATGTGTCCTTATTTGTAAGTTAAGTACGTGAAAGAGAAAAATATTGAGAAAAAAGATAAAAGATATTACTATTTTTAGTTTTAATTATAAGACCTTAATCTCAACGTGAAAGAAAAAAATAGTGGGAAAAAGAGTAAAAGATAATATTATTTTCAATTTTAATTATAAAATATTATTTGTAGGTTATAATTAGGTCTTATAATTATAACGGGTTAAAAGATAATATAATTAGGGATAAAATTGATGAAAATGTATTTAATATTTAAGCAAATCCGACCTGAATCTTATTAAAAGATTGGCGGGATCGGAGGGAGTATTATTTTCAGTATCTAAGTTTCCAATCTGGAAAATATTAGGGGCTGATGGACGGCAAATGTGTCCGCATAAAATTAATTTTTCAGCATATTATTCGAATAAATTATGCTTTTTAACCTTAACTACCAGTCGTCCGAGAGAAAAATGTGGTGTGGAATAAATGAACCCGTAGATTTTCTCAAGACAACGGAACAGGCTCTTCGCAAATGATGTACGCAACGGCAAACATTACAACCCATATTTTCCCGCATCTGCCACGCCGAAGGTCGAAGACGGGGCACCAGGTGTCCGTAGTTACTCCGCATGTATGAAACGACGTAGTTTTGGCTAAGCGGAGTGGAGTTTCCTTCTGGAGGAGGGGATCACCGCAGAAAGAGCTCTCGCACGCGTTACACATCTACTTCGGGGGCCACCTATAATGCACTGCTTCGGTGTTACTATGATGATGATATCCGCTAAACCATGGTTGGTACGTTTGCCCGTTTAGCTTTCACCGGGGTCAGCCTGCGGATTACCTTCCACTAGAGTCTCCCTGTCTCGGTTCTGCTCTTCTACACTATTTTCGTCGTTCCAGCCTCAATTCCCGATGGATACATATTTGCTTGCCCACATGCATCTGCGTCTTCTGTTGCTCTCACTCACTCTATTTTGCGGCGTGTTGAGCTCCGGCCATCTCATTGATGATGCCTATGCGAAAGAGATACTGAGTGCAGCCGAGAGAGACAAAGATTGGTTAATATCAGTGAGGAGGTTAATCCATGAGTACCCAGAACTCGCTTTTCACGAGCACAACACCAGTGCTCTGATCCGCGGGGAACTCGATAAGTTTGGTATCCCTTACACATATCCACTTGCCAAAACCGGCATTATTGCGGAAATTGGTTCTGGCTCTCGCCCCATCGTTGCTCTTCGTGCTGACATGGATGCCCTTCCTTTGCAGGTAACTTCGGCTCGGTTTCTGGGTCTATTCTTTTAAGCACAGCTATGAAGTATATCTTTGAATTTGGCGGTGTGTTCTCAGGAGCTGGTCGAGTGGAACCACAAGAGCAAAATTGAGGGCAGAATGCACGCATGCGGACACGATGCCCACGCGACCATGCTACTTGGTGCCGCGAAATTACTTAATCAGCGGAAACATAGACTTCAGGTGCTTATCGAGCTATTCCCTGATTACTTGGTTTGCTTTTCAATCTCAACACTCGTGTCTACGCTATTTTCAAGCGATGATTGACACTTAGCGGCAAAAATTTAATCACACTTGTTTGGGAGCCTAATGTCCAAATTTAACGGTTAAACGGAAAATCTATCTATCCCTCTCCCCTTTCCGGTAATATACAAGGGTGTTAAAATTAGAACTTAACTTCATCCAGCAGCCTTAGGTATATTTCCAGTTCAGTATGTTTGGTCCATGTGGTTCATAAAATCCAAAAATCAACTCCAGAAGCGCATAGACATAAACATGGTAGTTTGCCGTCACAAAGATTAGCGTGGTTCCAAATTATTACGTGTCAACTCATTCAAGTAAATTTCGGGAGACACACACACACACACACGGTTCCTTTTGAGGGCAGGAGATAATTGCTTGCTTTTAGACCACAAGAAGATAGTTTAAAATACCAGTTGTGCCTTTGAACACCGTCTTTCTCGGGGTATTGAAGCGTAGGCCTACAGGGACCTGAGCAAATGCTCACTTGCCAAGTTCTATTTGTGTGTTCAAGGTTCTGAATCACGCGAGCTTTCTTGGAATCTGTTATCTGATGAGCTTCCTCCTTTTCTTTTTGTCATTGAAGGGAACAGTACGACTTCTTTTCCAACCTGCTGAGGAGGGAGCCGCTGGTGCCGCTCAGATGATTGAAGATGGAGCACTTGAAGATGCAGAAGCAATTTTTGGTGTGCATGTCGATTACAGAACGCCTACAGGAGCCATATCATCTATATCTGGACCTTTCTCAGCTGCTGGGTGTATCTTTGCAGCAAAAATGATAGGGCAAGGTGGGCATGCTGCACAACCCCACAAAAATGTGGATCCTGTGCTGGCTACATCGTTTGCAATATTGGCACTGCAACAACTTGTCTCAAGAGAATCTGATCCACTTCACAGTCAAGTACGTCCTATTCTCAATCCAATCTTGTGAAAATTTCAGCTTCCATCTATTTGCTGGAAATCAGTTGTAATGCTGGCAACATTTATTTCCACAGGTGGTGTCAATTACTTATGTCAAAACCAATGTTGCGTTAAATGTGATTCCATCTTATGTTGAATTTGGTGGCACTCTGAGGAGTCAGACAACTGAAGGCATGTACCACTTCAGGCAGCGAATAAAGGAGGTACACTCAATAAACTTTGCAGACATAAATATTAGCTTCAATGAGAAACCTTTGTGACTTAATTATCCTAGATGGTCTAGACTCTGGGTAATTCTAGCTGACTTATAGTTTGTACAAAATCTCTGCTTTTCTAGAAGTCAATTATGTCTTGGCCATTTAATCACTTTCTTTTATCCTTGTGAAGTTGAAATTTTTTTCATCATATGCAAGGAAAGAATACTTCATTGTTGTTAGGAAAAGATATCTGGGAAAAAAAAAAAAACTGAAGAACAGTTTTAAAGCCACTCCATAGAGGGGTTAATCATTAAGAATGAAACCGTTCTTCTGGCCATGAATGAGTCTAGCTTTTATGTTCAATATTGATAAAAATTTTCTCTGCTTGTGAAGATCATTTAAATTAGTGTAATGTGCATGGCTAATTGCTCTTAAATTGTGATATGCGACAGTTCTCCTTAACCTTCGCGGAATTGTTTTTTCCTGTTGTGATTTCATGGTTGATTTGGGCTGGGAGTACTTCTCTGTCATCTGTATTATGCTGTTAAAAGAAGTAATAATGAAGTTAATGATTTTGTTTCATGAAATTAATTCAGCTTATGCAACGAGGGGGTGCTTGCAGGTTATTGAAGTACAGGCAGCTGTGCACAGATGCAGGGCACATATAGATATGAAAGAAGAAACTTTTACCCCATATCCTGCTGTTGTGAATGACAATAAGTTACACCTACATATAAAGAGGGTTGGTCAACTTCTGCTGGGTCCTGAAAACGTGAGGAAGGCCAAGAGGGTGATGGCAGGTGAAGACTTCGCATTTTATCAACAAGTGATTCCGGGAGCTATGTTTGGCATTGGCATTCGAAATGAGGAAGCAGGATCAGTTCGCCCTCCGCACTCTCCTTTCTTCTTTCTTGATGAGGAAGTCCTTCCAATAGGGGCTGCACTTCACACGGCGATTGCTGAGTTATACTTAGAGGATCACCAACATTCTACCGTGCAATAAGATTTGTCTTATTTTTGGTACTTCATGTCTATATAAATTTTTAAATACACCTCTTTCACCTGGACGAGGTGATATAGATTGCGGAGGAAAGAGATATTCACTCGACAAAAAGGCCAAAAGGTCCAGTACAAGGCATAAAATCCCTATTCCCAGGCACACAATTCTTATCCTTTCTCCTCTAACTGATTCTAGGATAATGCATACTCCAATTCTGTTATATAGATAAAGCCCATATAATTCTAGCATGCATCCCGATGTCCAAAAGGAAACTGAGTCTGTCGATAGACTCTATTACCTAAAACACCCATTTTTCATGGATGTTCATTACTCCTTATATTGACTGTAATGGGCGGTATAATTATGGACATGTAAATATCTGCGCATAAAAAATTCGCATCGTTTAGTGTGTTGAGTTTTCTTTAAAGTAGTTCGAGAAAGGCATGACTTTTTCGGTTTTTCTTTTTCCCAAGTCAAAATTCCTGACCCAACTGAGTGCAATGATGGGGAATGTGAATGAGCCACTCACACTGAATAGCGCTTCCTTTCTGGTGAGAATAGCTTGAACTGCTACTTGCCTTGGAGCGCAACAGATGTTGATATATTTTTATTTAATTGATGTGAAATGCGTCAGCCTTCATAGGATCTGGATTCCCTCTCATGCGAGAAGGATGATGGACGAAAGGGAGCTAGAATGGCGAGCTAGAACAGATATGCTTTTAAACATATCAGTATTATAGCCATTGTCCCCCTCATTCCTTTTTCTTCGCATTGACAGTAAACGAAGGTGGCCTTTTTTTGCTTATGAAAGTCAGCGGCTCTTATGTTATCGATTTTCTTTAGCAAATTTCTATGTAACCCTTTGATGTTGGATCAGTTTTCTTTTTTGTTGAGACCCTTGTGTAAATATTAGTATTAATATCATCTCTTTTTCACCCAAAAAAAAAAAGGTGGCCTTTTTTTTTTTTTGCCAAAAAGGTGGCTAATTCTGAATATTGATACGGTGAAAGTCTGGCCTTCCAATAACGAATTCATGACTTATCCCAGGGAGTATGATAGCGTTTGTTATGATATTAGAATTTTAGTATCTAGTTTTTCTGATCTTAATTAGGTGTGGTTTTGATTTGTCTTTATTTAGAAGGCTTATGTCGAATTATGCGTCTAACCTGGGATTTATACTGCAACGAGATTTTGGGTGGTTTTAAATAAACAAGAATAATGAATTCATGCCCTGAAATTATACAGTCCATACTTCTCAAAGAATTAGTGCCTATATCGAGAAACATACAATAACATGCCGCTCAATGATTTAGAATTTTCCTCGGTGCTCTAGGTGGTTGAGTCTGACGTACGATCATATAGATAGTAAAGATCTTCGCCGCAAAAGCAATTCAAAGTTTCCGGCGAAATAATGTAGAAGCCTAGAAGGAATGAGAAAAAAATAGTCAGAACCAGAAGCAGCGAACGAGCTGAAATTCTGCAGGAAAGGCGGGGCCAGTGAATCTCCCTATACTTCGTGCTCTGCGTTTCTTGGAATCATGCCGGGCAAAAGTTTCACTTTTCTTGATTAGGACACATCCTACGGTTAGGTAATAAGAACATTGCAGGATTTACTGATCTACAAATCTGCCCATTATCCCTCAAGGAATTAAGCCAGCTATCCCAATTATCGTTCCATCACGGAGGAAGAGTATTACTACTTCTATTAATTAAATTTTGAGATACATAATTGTTATACTTTGTAAATACATATCGACACAAATATCATTAATAGAAATTATTTTTAATAAGTAAAAGAAGTGGGCGTGCGTGGTTGGATTTATGCGATTGCCTTCCAAATGAAAATGAAACTGAGCAAACATGGAGATTCCATTTTTTTTTTGGGTACAACATGGACATTCTAACAAAGGAAGGGGCGACACCTCGATTAGAATCTGTTACGGAGTTTCCGGCCAAGCGGAGGGAGATTCTGGAGGGGACCGCTACAGGGAGAGCCCGCCTACTCTTGGGCCACCTGTGAACCATTATGCACTCTCTTCCAATGGGAACTTATTTGGGCGGTTGCTATTCGAAAACTCTGGACGGGGCGAAACGTTGCCATCTTCTATGCTGAATTCATCGAGCAAGATAACCCTGCTTTAATCATTCTGCAGACTTGGAAATTGTATGTACAAGTTAACGAAGGTTCGACTATTAAGGAGGTCTCGCTGTCTAAAAGCTTTTAGGAATAGGCTGTTTTTAAAAGGAATCAAATTTGCTTGGGACTTGGGTTTCAAGAAAATGGTCCTTGAATCTGATTCAAAATACCTGCCGGACGTGATTATCAGCAACAGAATCTGTATCAACTAGAGCCTATTATTCATTCAGATTCCAGAGATGCTGAATTTATCTTCTGTACGCGGGTCGCATTCTCAAGCTACGGCTTGTCGTCTTTCATCAAAAAAAAAAAGAGATGCTGAATTTATATTGGGAGTTGCAGATTCTACACTTTTCTAGAGACCAAATTGCCTAGCTGATTCACTTGCGAAGGACGGGTTATCTAGATCAGATTTTTTGCTTCTTGTCGGTCTCATCGTCGAACTTTAGTGGTTGAAGAGTGTTCGGGATTTGATTCTCACTGTGTCTTTACTTTCTCAGTCTTTTGCCCTCTCTTGTAAATAAACAATGGATGGCCGTCGACGGTGGTTGTCACGTTTGAGTTTCACTAAAGTCGACCTGTGCAGTAAAAACGATCTCCGTTGACGATGGTTGGTATATTACCTTCCAGTAGAGTCCCCCAGTCTCCGTTCTTCTCTTATATTCTATTTTCGTCGTCCCAGCCTCAATTCCCAATGGATACATTTTTACTCGCCCACATACATCTGCTTCTTCTGTTACTCTCACTTACTCTGATTGCGGCGTGTTAAGCACCGGCCATCTTACTGATGATGCCTATGCGAAGATACTGAGTGCGGCCCAGCAAGACAAAGATTGGTTAATATCAATGAGAAGGCGAATCCATGAGTACCCAGAACTCGCTTTTCAGGAGCACAACACCAGTGCTCTGATCCGCAGGGAACTCGATAAGCTTGGTATCCCTTACACATATCCACTTGCCAGAACCGGCATTGTTGCGGAAATTGGTTCTGGCTCTCGCCCCATCGTCGCTCTTCGTGCTGACATGGATGCCCTTCCTTTGCAGGTAACTTCGATTTCATTTCTGGGTCGATTCTTTCAACCACATCTATGAAGTATATCTTTGAATTTGGTGGTGTGTAATCAGGAGCTGGTTGAGTGGAACCACAAGAGCAGAATTGAGGGCAGAATGCACGCGTGCGGGCACGATGCTCACACGACCATGCTACTTGGTGCCGCGAAATTGCTTAATCAGCGGAAACATAGACTTCAGGTGCTTATCGAACCATCAATTCATCGATGACATGGTTTACTTTTCAATTTCAGCATTTGTGACTACACTGTTTCCAAGCAAGCTGATGATTGACATTTAACGGCAAAAATTTAATCACACCTGTTTGGGAGCCTAATGTGCAAATTTAATGGTTAAACGGAAAATTTCTGTCTTTTCTTCCCCTTTTCGGTAATATACATGGGTGTTAAAATTAGAACGTAACTTGATCCAGCAGCCTTAGAAATTTTACGAGTTCAGTATATTTGGTCCATTGGTTCACAAAATCCAAAGTTCAACTCCAGAAGCGCATATACATAAACAAGGAGGTTCGCCGTCATAAAGATTCACCTGCTCAATTCTGTTGTGTGTTCGTGGCTCTGAATCACACGAGATTTCTTGAAATCTGTTATCTGATCAATTTCCTCCTTTTCTTTTCGGCATTGAAGGGAACTGTACGGCTTCTTTTCCAACCTGCTGAGGAGGGAGCTGCTGGTGCCCCTCAGATGATTAAAGATGGAGCACTTAAAGACGCAGAAGCAATTTTCGCTGTGCATGTCGATGATGATGAAACGCCTTCAGGAGCCATAGCATCTATATCTGGGCCTTTGTCAGCTGCCGGATGTATCTTTGCAGCAAAAATGATAGGACATGGTGGGCATGCCGCAAAACCCGACAAAAGTGTAGATCCTGTTCTGGCTACATCGTTTGTAATATTGGCACTGCAACACTTGTCTCACAAGAATCTGATCCACTTCATGGTCAAGTACGTCCATTCTCAATCAATCTTGGGATGTTTCAGCTTCTATCTATTTGCTCAAAATCAG